TGCCTCAGTGCGAGGGCCAGGAGCAGGAGCAGCTTAGCATTGCATTGCCTGCGCTCGCACTGAGTAGGCAGAGCTCAGGAGGACTGGTGCCTGGGCGGAGGAAGGGGGAAAGGGGGCAATCGTATGGCCCCTGGGCAAGTACTCCCGACACTGCAGGAAAGCCAGAACCTGCTTCTGAGGCCGGAAACTGATGGGGGTGGTCGGCTCTGGGCCCTCGTCCCTGCTGGAGGAATGTGCTGGCTGCCTTTCTGGTGAGCGGGAGGTGGGTTCCTGGAGACAGCAAGACATGAAATATCCTGGGCCACTTTCCCGGATGCTCTAAGAGGTCCTTGCTAGGTGGGCTGAGAAGCCCATGGAGCAAATACCAGCACAGACAGAGGTGGAGGTCACTTCTCCTGCTGCTCCTGTCCTGCTGGCTGCAGCCTAGCAGAGCAGAGAGTCTGGGGAGCCTCCAGTTTGGGGTACTTCTGAGTGTCTTTAATGCACCACACCTCTTGCATGGTGGCATGCGAACGAAGGTGAGCATCCTGCCCTGCAAGGCAGCCTTCCCTTCCCCGTGCCTCCCATGGGGGTGTTTGGCAATCCAAGACCTGTAGAAGAGCCCAAGCCTCCGTGGACTGAATGGGGGGCCATGGTGGGCCAAAAGAAAGAAGAAGGAAGGAAGAAACCTTGGATTCTCCTGATTTTCCTTATACCAGACTGTGGAACAAGGGAGTCCATTTCTATCTTGTTTTGGTGGATTTGTGTCAAAGACGTTCTCTGGTTTGGGGTAATTTGCATTGGATTTTTTAAAATCAAAACATCTTCTGGCACCTTAGATCATTTTCCCTCACCACTGGCTCTGCTGGGTGAGACAGACTGGAACTGGAACGTCTGCAGGGCCAATCCTGCCCCACATCTAATTTAGTAAACAGCCATGCTCAGCTATGAGTGTTTGAACCAAAATCTTGGAGGAAACAAATCAAATCATACTTGATGTGATTTAAATGTGATACAGTGCAATTTATTTTATTAGAATATGTCTAAAATGTAAAGATAATAAGATGCACTTCCTGTGCATTGCTTTGATTTAAAGAGGGGAAGAAGGCCTGAAAATGTTGGCATGCCAGCGCATTTTAGCAACCCAAAGAAATGTGCCCGGCATGTTAGCAGCCACTCATCTGCTGTAATGACATTCGGTTCCTCCGCAGAGGCTGTTAGAGCACCTTCGGTCTTGCTGTCACTTTGTATTAGTTTCATTTCATTCAGAGATATACATGTATTTCAGTGACACACACATTGCAATGGATAATCACCTGAAACAGTAATTATAACTCTGAACCTGGCTGACTCACCTAACGTCGTATTTGCAGTTGGCATCCATTCATTGTTACTAATGAACTTATGAAATAGAAAATTTTCTGCAGAAAAATTAAACACTGGAAAATGTTCTGCCCCACATCACTGGTTTGCATGCCCAAGAGCTGCAGTTCAGCTCACCATGAGATTGGTTTCCACTCAGGCAAAATCTCCAAAGAGCTTCCAAGGAAGCAGAAAAGCAGAGCAAAGGTTCTCCAGGTTGGTGTTAGCGGTTCTGTGTATCTTCTCAATAGGACATACTAATGAAGGCTGTTGGTTGAATTGTGCCAGGGGGTGTCTTTGTGTGCATCTAACCAGCACTTGCTGTCTTGTTGAGAATGTGGTGAAGAGAAATAGGCAAAATTGAGAAAACTGGGGATTCGAATTGCCACTGATACTTGGTTTGGAGCTGTTTTGAGCCTGTATGTCCTTAACTTGAATTCTAAGCTGCAAATGAATTGTGATGCATATCAGAACACTAGAATGGTTCTTTTTTGGGGGGGAGGGCTTTCACTCTACAAATGGGGAGCTGCTGTAGGTTAAAGGGAACATAACCGTTGTTGGGAACCTTGTGTTTGTGTGAATTGACTTGCCGCAACTACCGGATAGTATGAAAAATTGTTGGCACCGCAGAGGAATATGCTAAACTGCCATTACTTCATGATTAATTTCAGAATGATACTTTACGACATCAATATTTACACTCAGTCCACTATGGCAGTTTGTTCAGCACTGCATATGGGAAGCATTATGCAGTCCCATGAAGGTGCAGTGACATTCTTGCTGTGTAAGCCAATAATCAGAACCATGTGCGCGAAGTGGCACCCAAGCTCATGCGCTCAATGTGTCAGTGAGCGTTCTGCGGGGATGTTCAAAAGCCACATGGAAACCCCCCTTTAAAAGGGTCCGGTCAGTACAGAATTCAGATTGCAGGCAAAAGAAGTGGCATAAAGGAGTGGGAGGCAAAGCCCCCCCCCAGTTTTCAGGTGCTCCGTTTCTTCAAAGAGTGGGGTGGCCTCTTTTATTTGGAGTGCCACCCATGCCCTTTAGTGAAGTGGGGCAGCTTGCAAATCCAGAGCTCTTCTTGGAAAGACCGGTCTCATAATACAAGGCCCGCCAGGATGAATATTCTGATGTGGGCCTTGCAAGCGACAAAGCTGGCTCTCATCTTGCTGGGGCTCCTCCCTGGGCCTCTCTGGGAAATAGCGCCATGCCTCCCCATTCACATGCACACTTAGCTTTCGTGTCTCCATGTGTACCAGTGACTCATCTCCAGTGCCAATCTCAAGGCATTTCTGTCCTGAGCCTGCAACTGGACGGCTCTGTGGAGGCCAGAGCAGAAGTGGTAGAACTGCATCTGCCTTGGCTGTAGTCGCAAGTGGGTCTCCCTCCATACCCTCTTGCTCCTGAGCAGACCCTGGGTGAAAAGGTCTTCTGGCAGCCAGGCGGATCCTCCATCAGTGCTGAGCATCCCCGCAGGCAAGCGCTGTCAGCGTGCTGGGGAGCCACAGCTGGGCTCGGGTCAAGGGTGATGGAACTCTGAGGGACCTCGGATAAGGCACCTCTGCCACAGGTGTCCTCAGATGGCCTCAGGTCTGCAGTAAAAGTGGACTCTGCTGGGCAGTTGGACATCTTCTCCAAGGAGGTTTCCTCTTGTGGACGCTATGCTTCAACCTGTACATCATCCTGCCAGTCTTCGTTACCAACCCTGCTTCCTAGCTGACAAAGATGAAGCAAAACATTGTGAAAACTTCTAAGCGTAACTCAGCATCCTGAAATTGCTACATCAGCATGCCTTGATTAGCTGGAATCAGGGTGATTCATAAAAGGACTGGTGCAAAACTGCTCTGAATTTGATCTGCGTATATTTTTGGCAGCATGTCTTTTTTTGCAAATATTTTAATTTTGGAAATGTTCGGGTCTTGGTATATGTTGCCCTTTCTCTTATTCTAGCATGGCTTCCTTTGCTCTGAGCAATGTTGCCAAATCGTGCCTACGTAGTACTGCCGCCCCCTTCACGGCATGACCTCTGATTGCCCGAGTCGCACATGTTGCCAGTCCAGAGAGAAGAAGCATGCAGCAGCTGAGTGAAAAGCAGTGCAGCGGCTTGAAGAAACAGGTGGCATGAAGCAGGATTGGAAGAAGAGCATTCTCCCCTCCCCGTCACTCCAAATTCACATTCCATGGCCTAAAACCCAACTGCACAGTGCGATCCATTATAATCCACTCCATCTCCCCATCCAGCGTGCGCTTAAGGTGGGCCCGGCTGGACAGGCCAAGGGTCATCCAGCCCAGCATGCTGCTCACACAGTGGCCACCCAGCTCCTCACAAGGACAGGAGCCGACAGCAACTCCAAGCACCATCGGCATCGCAATTTTGCCTGAAGACGTGCAGCTTGGTTGGGTTTCTCAAGGTCTGCACCAAGCTAGCCCTGCCCCAGCTGACCCCAAAGAACAATTCTTCCTCACTGGGCGCTGTGAAATCCCTGTTCAGATCCCAAAGCTTGTCCATCTGGGGCTTATGACCAACAGTGACCAGATTCTCATTTATTTTTATTTTACATTAAATTAATTTACTTCATTTGTAGGCCACCTTTAAAGGCAGAACTTCATTCCCTTCTCAAGGCAGCATGTTGAAAGAAAGAAACAATAAGCAGTAAAAAAGAAGAGCAAATAATCAAGAAAATGGCAATTACAAGTAAAAACTGCATCCCAGCAATAGAATCCAGCAAGAAGCCTGAGAGAATGAGTGGATCTTCAAAGCTAGCTTAGCCTGCAAACATGAGGCCTGATGAACCTCCATGGAACCTCAGTCCAGAGGTGCAGGATCACTACAGAAGAGGTCCCTTCTTGTACTTGCCAGCCTAACCACCCCTGGTGGTGGCCATGTGAGAAGGGCCTCCACTGGTGAGCTCAGGGTGCAGCCAGCCTGCTGCAAGCCCTGCACATAATTGTGGTCCAAACCATTGAAGGCTTTACTGGTTGAGCCTGCCCAGCTCTTGTGATTTCCTGCAGGGGCACTTCTTGTGAGACTGCCACCTTCAGAGGCACGCTGGGTGGGGAGCCAAGCCAGGATTGCTGCAGTGGCCACTCCTAGTCTCCAGGACTCCCACCCAAGGGTGGCCCTCTCTCCTTCCACCAGCAGCTCTGCTTTGTGCAAGAAGACCACTTACCTGTTCCTGGGCCTGTTGGGCTGGGTGCTGTTTGACATATCTTTTTCTTCCTGTAATTGTTATGTATTGAGTTATTGTTTTAAGCCATTTTAATTCATTCTGTGATCCATCTTTTTGACAGAAAGGCAGGGTACTAGTAAAATAAATATATAAGAGCAGCTCTTTAAATTGGGCTTGAAAATGCACAAGCAACCAGTGCAGCTCAGCAAAATTGGTGGCACATGAGCTGTCCACCAACATCTGAGTGGCTTTATTCAGCACCAGCAAAAGTTTTCAGACCGCTGTTGGAAGCCAAAGGTGGGTCCATTTTGTAGTTTCCCTTTCTGATGACAACTATTTTAGCATAGCAGTTTGGTTTGTCTAGCAACATGCCTTCTGACTTTCAGTGCTCTCTCCACTTTGTGGTGGCCAGTTCAAGGAGAATTCTCAGCTCATCATGCTTTAGAAAACGATTCCACTGTACTAACAAAACTTTCTCGTTACCCATAGAAAATTGGCTGTGATGGGATCATTGGCTCAGCTGCCAAAGAGGATCGTTGTGGAGTCTGTAATGGAGATGGGAAGACTTGCAAAGTGGTGAAAGGAGACTTCAACCATACCAAAGGGATGGGTGAGTACCCATGGAGTAGCTACCTGGTACTTGAAAACACATATGCAAAAGAGTGTGTGTTTGCAGTGGGCAACTCATGCACTGAATTTTAAACACAAGATCCAACTGGAGTGGTACAATCCTCATTTTGATCTGAAGCTGCTCCAGATCTCATTCTTGATTCACATTTTGCAGATCCAGAATATTCCAAGGACTTTCCCAGTCATTTTCAAGTTTCAGTAAAGATCTCAAGGGCTTAGGCATTTTGCTTGAGATGATCTTGAATCTGCTGAGCATGATTGCCCTTTGTATAGTGTTAGCATGCTGACACCTAGTTCCGAACAGAGTCATCAAGACTAGGCTACCATTTTGACTAGACGCGTGGGCTGGGCTGCCTTACCACTGTCGTAAGACCCTGTGGTAATTGTTCAGGTTTTCAGCCCTTAGTGTCTCCTGAGCTCAATCAAGTGGCTTTACTTTACTTGGTGGTGCACATGGAACAATCTTGGTTAAGAGTTAAATCCAGCACCATCCTAGTGGAAGTTCACTAGTACAAGGGGGCTTTCTCCCTTCTGCAGAGCTCTGCACCTCCCAAAAACCAGTTCTGTGGAGGCTCCATCCCTCCGGAGCAGCTTTTGAGGGTGTGCCAGGGAGCCCAGCCTGGTCAAAGAACTTCCCTTCCTGGTTCTGCTCAAGCAGAACCCCAGCAGAGCAACACCAATGGATTAAATCCTAGGGATTTCAAGATTCCGAAGATCCATTCCCTTGACCAAATGACATTGATCGTAAAAGATTTCACCCTGTGTTAATATAAGCCACCTGTCACAACTCAGAGTGACTCCTAGTATCATCCAGCTGGGCCAACTAAATATGCCCAGAATTGCACCTGAAGTGGACTTGGCTGAAAAATACCCTAGAACTCCCTAGAACACTGGACCACTTCGTAATTGCTCCATGACACTACCCGGTTCTGCAGAAACTGGGTGATTTCTATGCTGAGAGTAGCACCTCTGGCTGTGTGCCAAGTTCAGAGCTCTGGGAAAGAAAGAATGAATTTTCAATTGCAGATCCTCTTGTGCGTGCAGACTTGTGAAGACAAACTGTGTTGCTGTCACTAAACCCATGCCACTTCCTTTCTTTTTCTCAGTCTCCAATAGTCAATGTAAGAAGGTTTCCACGTGTGTGATGCCAAAGGCAAAGGCTGTTCCCAAGTGCTTCTCGTGTAAGATGCCTGCTTGCTCCGCGTGGCATTCTGGGACAGGCGGTTCTTTGGTGCTGGGTCTCTTTCCTTCTCCTCTTGCTGACCTGAAACGCATGAAGAGCCTCTCACTCAATAACGGGAAAAGCCATGGATACATTCGAAGGCCCTTTCCAAAATTATGGCAAGACTGGCTGAGGTTCCTAGTAGAGTACGCAGGTTGCTCCCTTATCAGGGCCTGTTCGTTCTCCACTGGGAAAAATGCAGTTTGGAACATTAGCCCTCCAAGCACAACTCAGACAGTTAGAGATGGCTTTTTTTAGATGCGGGGCTCTTCACCCTAACAATGGACAGGTGAGAGGTTGGCTTATGGCAGGACTGAAGGCATGAGGGCCCCCTGGGTGGAGTCCAACTTTGTCAGGCTCTTGGGCAAGGCTTCCTCCCATGAGGTCTACTCCTTGCCATGGCCTCCAGCTATTCTTGTGCTCCCCCTCTTTCTCCTCATGGCTTCCACATGCTTGCTTGACAGGCAGAGAGCCAGAGAGCAAGGAACAGGGCCACCTCCTGCTCTTTCTTCTCACCATCAGTGTTGCCTGGGCCGGAATGAGGGCAGGTAAGCAAGCAGGTAGGGATGGAGCAGCAAAGGAGCAACACTGGTCCCTGGCAGGTGCTTGGATGTCCCCACCTATGATGGGAACACTGACCCATAAATCCTTCGCTGTTTCATCTGCAGGTGAGTCCGACACAAGATGAAAAGCCTACACAGAGAGCAGCAGAGAGAACATAAAGTGAGAAAGGCCTTTGCTTCAGGACCCTTTGGGTCTTACACATCTCATATTTGTGTTCTCATAAAGCATGGGAGCAAGTTTGCATGTGAACTGGAAAGTAATCCATTAGGAAGCAAGTGTGAGTTGTGCTTATTAAGTCTTTCGTTCTTAGTAAAGCATTATTGCCCACACAGAAAACAGCTGGGGTTTTGTGTTGATTCTCTTTCTTGTTCCTGATCCTGTGCATATAGCCGCAGGCTGTTGCAGATGAAAAGGATGGATAGATGGACTGCATATGGTGCCATCAATATACAGGATGCCTTACACGTTCTATAAGCAAATCAGAAGGGCCTGTCTCTGTCCCATGGGCTGCTCTCAGTGCTTTAGTCTTTCCATGTGCTCTGCCTTTCAAGGTTTATCAGCCGATTGCCCAGTGAAAGCAGATTAGGTGATCAGCCTGTTAGTGGATTGTACCATGTCAGTCTGCAGGTGGAGAACTCCTGTGACAGAATGCCCCACCCCAGGGAAACCTATACAAAGAGAATTAGCATGTCAAAAGAAGCTTTCCAGGTAAGTCTACTCCAACACGCTAATTTGCTATTCCTCCTGCTTTTTTCTCATTTTTTACCCATGGAGGAACATCCAATCCTGTAGGTGAGCCCAGCCACCTACAATTTGAAATGGTACAGTCCAGAGACAGGTTTACCACCTCAATTGTGCATCTGGCCCATGAAGTTTGAAGGCGCGAGAGATTATTTCAGAAATAGCACAGATCTGGATTGAGGCCCAGCTATAGAACTCAAGGAAACAGTAAGAAGGATGAGGCAAGGCCACAAATGACTGCTGTAGGATGGGGAAATTAGCCGTGCTCAGCCTTGCCAAGATTTTCTGAGCTCCACCTTGAGGCTTGGACGGCCTGTTCCTATTTGCAACCTGTTTTCCTTCTCAGAGCACTAACTAGCGGCTTTGAAATCTATCCATGGCTTCTTGAGGGTGCAAGCATTTCCCTCCCCAGACTGGCCGTCCCATGGCTATAGGTGACCTGGACTTACATACTTCCTGAGCTGCAAGAGAGCAGGAACATGTGAACACCATTCCTGCTCAGAAATCCTACTCAGAGCAAGATGCCACATTTTGAAGCCTCACCATGGATTGTGTGAACAGCATCTAATGCGCTAATTGGGCATGAGGAGACTGCCTTGTTGGGAGAAACAGCAATGTCAGACCAACAGGAGAAAAACCCTGTTGAAGCAGGCCAAGGGTCCACTCGGTCCAGCACTCAGCGCACGAGGTGGCAAACCATCTGCCCGCAGGAACCTGCAGGAAGGATGGGGACAAGACCTCCTCCTGCCCAAATTCCCCAGCGGCTGCCACATAGGACCGGGAGCCGTCCCCTCCATGAATTAGTTCTGCACCCTTGTGTACAGGTGTCCAGATCGGTGGCCATCACTACACCTTGTGGCAATGAGTTCCACAGTTTAACTATGCACTGTGCCCTGGTCCTCCTCCAAGCAGCTTCCTGGGATGACCCCTTTGGGTCCGAGTGTTCTGAGAGAGGGAAAAATGTTTCCCTGTCTCTTGTCCACCTCTGTCATGTAGAAAATGCTCGTGTTAGGAGAGGGCTTGTGCTCCTGGCAACCTTCCATGTGCCAGGTGATGCGTGGTTGCTGCTGCAGGACTGCCACTCCCTGCTCCCACAAGCCCCAACCCTGGCCTGTGCAGCCTCCTGCTTGCAAGGAAGCACCAGGTCCTTCAGGCTGCACCTGAAGCTTGCTTCTGCACGGCCTGGATGCGGATGCTTGTTTCAGGCAGCATGCAGCATGTGGAAAGAAAATGAAAGGCCCTGTGCACATGAACTCGCACTGATAGCCATGGGATGACACCCCCTTCGCCTAAGAGGTCCTCTTTCAGAAAGATCTGTTCTAGCTCTTTGGTAGTCCAGCCACAGTACCAAAAATGGTGCTAACATCTGTTTTCACTGTCTGGGGAAAATAACTTTTCTTAGAACAGCAAACCCCTCAAAGAGTTCGCTGTTTGCTTCCTTCCAGCCTCGTTGGTGCAGATTCTCTCCCCACCCCCCATCTTTTTCTCCCTCCCTCCCTCCCTCTCACCCTGCTCAGGGGTATCTCCTCTAATTCATGCTCTGCCATACAATGTGTACGCAGGATTCTTTTCAATCACAGCCATGCATTCCTGAGGCATTGATGTAGTGCAGACTCTCCAGAAAGATGGTTGCATGCCAAAAAGAGAGGATAATTCCCGAGGTGGAGCACGCTTGCAGCCAGCGCTGTGAACTACCACATAGGAAAATGCTGTGCCCTACAAGTATCCTTGGAACCTTGTCCTGCTTCGGCACAATTGCCCCGTGGTGGCCTCTGCCCTCCTTGGAAGTCTGGAGCCTAAAGGAATAGTCTGAGAAATCGGGCGTCTAGCACTGGGGCCTGAGACTCGCTGATCTTTCTGGTGGGGATGCTGCACTCACAGATTGCCAAAGGAGCTGAGGCTTGGAACCTCGCAGGAAAGCTATTGGGGAACATTTCCCTAAGCGTTGGAAAGCTCTCTTCTGCTAATCCTTCACAAGACTGTGTTTAATAAATTCTAAAGCCCAGGAGGGTGCTGCTGGTGCTGGTGGCGGTGCTGGTGGTGGTGGTGGAAATGTAATCTCAAGGTTTGTTTTGATCCCATGCATGCATGTGGGGCATGCGAGGCATTCGCCACGGGGTCTGGGGTTCGTCATCTGCTCTCATGGAACCTGCAGCAGTGGCAACGACCATTCAGCTGGCGAGCTCAGCAGCAGGACATGTGTGCCATTGGCTGCCCATTTGCCAGATGCTGCTTGACCTTTTCAGCTGGACTCAAAGGAACGCTGCTTGCTTGAAGAAGCTGGGAGAGGCTTTGCTCCCCATGGTGTGCTTCGGGATCCTCACATTGTCAGCTAGAAGCTGAGAGGAATTCTGTGAAGGCAGAGGCCTGCGTTTGCTTCCACAGGAAAAGCCCTGCACCACTGCAGGCTGGCTGGGGGATGCTGGGAGCTGTACGGCTTTCTTCTGGGGAAGCAAACATAGGATTGTGCTGGCCGTGAGAACACCCCGAAGCCAGCCAGGAACATTGTTCTCGTTCACCATTAAACTTTAAAAACAAAACTAAGAATCCTAATTCCTTAATAGTCTATGAACAAGTTTACATTCTATGAGAACCAGCCAGGCCAGTAATAAGATGATGCAACCATGTAGATTTGAACAAAATGGATTGGCATATTGATTAGACTCCTGAATTACTGGCTTGGCTTTACTGTCTCAATTTTATTTTGAATGGCCAACACAATTGGCCATTTTTCATTTCTAATATGAGGAGCAATCAGTATGTGGAAAATGTCTCAGTTGTCATTTATTTCCTGGTTCCTTCTGGATGTTGATAGTGTCTGAATATAGTGATGTAGTTGATCGTGTCTGTCAGCAGGCATCATCCCATGCCTTAAACTTAGATGGAGCTGGTTTCCCCGAGATCTTAAAAGGGGGTCCTAAGCCAGAAAGGATAGAAGACCCAGCAGAGCATTGCATGATTTAAATCTGCAGTGGTTGTTTTGCTTTGCAATAATACACTGTATGTTTGAGGCATGTTCCAAAGTGTCACCCTAACCCTGACAACAGGGCGAGATGGTGGGATACATAGAAACATAGAAACTGAGTCAGAAGGGATCTCCCGGGTCATCCAGTCTGACCCCCAGGTCCAGCCAGCTCCACTCATGACATGCCTCCCATGTACATGTCCAGCCTCTCCTTGAACACCCTCACAAGTGGGGCCTCAACCATTCACAGTGCCTCGTTCTTCCTCACTTACATCCTTGGTGATCCTGTCTGGTTATCGTTACTGGTTGTGAGGTCTTGATGTCAGTACATGAGTTTTCATCGAACTGTTTTAGGGAGCAGTGATTGCAGTGTGATTTTAGGATGTGGAGCCAGACAACAACAATGCCTCCAGTGCCAAACCATGTGTCAGGCACTTGTTTGCTTTAACTAATGTAGATTACTTAGCTGTGGTTAAAAATCTAAACTACACCAGCAGCAGCACAAGCAGGACAGCGATTGCTGGGATGTATTTTGCAATTGCTGAAAGCTGAATCCATCAAGCTGGCTTCCTCAGGAATCCCTGTGTTTTCTGCGCTCCCTGAGGGGGTGTCTGTTTCTCTTGGTAAGCTGAGGAGTGGAGAAGAAAAGGAGAAAGGCTCTGCTCGGTCAGGTGGGGAGATCTGGTGACATGGAAATGTGAATGGCGCTAGGACAATGAGGGCAGAACAAAAGGGAGTTCATTGGAAGCGGTACCCTTGGGTCCAATCAGTTTTAGGGTTCATGTTGCCTCTGGCAGAAGTGGAAGGAAGACAGAGGGGGATTTGCAAGATGTCATACAATAGGTTGACCCCACAGGCGTGGCTCTGTGTTTAGGCCCTGGGGTCTGTGCAAGCCAAAGCCACACATTAGAATCAGAGATTGCGGAAACAGAATGGCACTTCCAAATCAACAAGGCTTTATTTGCCAAGTGTGGAACAGCCATGCATGACCTCTGGTTAAATGCTCACTTCACCTGTAAATTCTGCATATTGAATCATAGAATCCTAGAATAGTAGAGCTGGAAGAAGCCATGAAGGCCATCAAGTCCAGCCCCCTGCGGTTGCAGGACACCAAGTCACACCATTCCACTCAGATGGCTGTCCAGTTTCTTTTTGAATGTCTCCAGTGTGGGAGAGCCCACCTCCTCTCCAGGCAGCTGGTTCCACTGTGGTGTTGCCCTGACAGTGAGGAAACCTTTCCTGATGTCCAGCCTGAATCTGGGTTGTCACAGCTTGACTCGATCATTCCATGTCCTGCGCTCTGGCATCAGCAAGAAGACATCTCAACCTTCCTCTTTGTGACAGCCTTGGAGGTATTTCTAGAGGGATATCACATCCCCCCTCAGTCTTCTCTTCTCAAGGCTGAACATGCCCAGTTCTCTCAGTCTCTCTGCATAGAGCCGTGATTCCAAATTCTGGATCATTTTTGTTGCCCTTCTCTGGACCCTTTCTAATTTTCCTGCATCTTTCTTAAATCTTGGTGCCCAGAACTGGACACAGGATTCCAGATGAGGTCTGACTAATGAGGAATATAGGGGAACTACCATTTCTCATAATTTAGAAGTAATACTTCTATTGCTTACTTGCTTGTTAGTTGCTAAGTTGCGTCTGACCCTTCGCGACCCCACGGACAACATTCCTCCAGGCCTTCCTGTCCTCCACCATTTCCCGGAGTCCACTTAAGCTCACACCAACTGCTTCAGTGACTCCATCCAGCCACCTCATTCTCTGCCGTCCCCTTCTTCTCTTGCCATCTATTGTTCCCAGCATTAGGCTCTTCTCCAGGGAATCCTTCCTTCTCATTAGGTTGCCAAAGTATTTGAGTTTCATCTTCAGTATCCCAAAATAGCATTTGCCCTTTTTACAGCTGCATTGTGTTGTTGGCTCATGTTTAGCCTATCATCCATAATAACTCTAAGGTCTTTATTTTTTTCAGTTCTGCTGAGCCACATATTCCCTATCTTGTATCAATGCATCTGGTTTCTTTTTCCTAGGTGGAAGACTTGGCACTTGTCCCTGTTGACTCTCATTCTGTTGCTTTCAGCCCAGTGTTCAAGTCTATCAAGATCAGCCTGGATCCTCATTCTGTCTTCTAGGGTGTTTGCTATTCCACCCAGTTTTGTATCATCTGCAAATTTGTACTTCTTCATGTAAACTATTAATAAAGATGTTGAAGAGCCCTGGGCCCAGGACTGATCGCTGTGGCACCCCACTAGTTTCCTCCCTCCAGTCTGAGAAGGTGCCATTGATGAGCTCTCTTTGTGTCCGATTTAGCAGCCAGTTTTGGATCCACCTAATCATTTTTCTGTCTAGTCCACTTTTTGCTGATTTGCTTATCAGAATGTCTTGGGGCACTATGTTCAAAGTTTTGCTAAAGATTAAATTAGTCTGACAGGATTTATTTTTGATCAATACTTGTTGGCTTCTATCAATCAAGATGCCTGCAGACTGATTTTTTTAAACAATGTGCTCAGTAATTGAAACCCTTCTCCAGGAACATTCTGCTTTTCTTTTTACTTTTATTGCAAATTTATTTCACTTTTCTTCCAAAGTAGCATACAGGGTTCTCTGCCTACCACACACACACACACATTTTATCCTTGCGACACTCCTGGGAAGTAGTTTGGGCTGAGAAGGCGGGGATGGGGTCACCTGCAAAGCTTCATTGCTGGGTAGAAATTTGAACCCAATTCTGATAGTCTAACCCACCCACCCCCTTGCAGTGGTCCTTTGCACAAGCAGACCTTTTCACAAGCTTTGCACTTGGTGTCAGTGTTAACACAAAGGCAAAATCAATATAAACTACTTCCACACTCATTTTAATTGTTGCCCCAAACCAAGGGATCCTGGGAACTCCAGGTACACCCAAATGATTCCCACCAACTTCATGAAACTACAACTCCAGAATTCCTTTGAGGAAAATAATAGTTAAACCGGCTTTTGGCAATTTATTAGATCCATAGTATACTGTTCGGCATCCTCTGCAACGCATTTCAACCTCTGATTTGTTTGAAAGTTCTGAGAGTGATTTAGAAGGCAACACAAGTTAAAATGGGGAGAAAAATCTTGTGAAATATATCTCCGTTCACATCCTTTTCATCCAGCGTGAGTGAAGATTTAAACATAAAAAATAGAATAATAAGAAAACTGGGAGAAGCTGGTGTCCTGGATATCTGGAAGGCCTCAGGTTCAGCTCCTTTCATCTCCAGTGAGAAGGATCCTGGGCAGTGGGGCAGGAGAGAACTCTTTCAGGGGCCTGAGAAAGGCACTGCCAGAAAAAAGGGCTACCCTGGAGCATTTGAAGGTATCCCCTTATGTTGCATAAGGACAGAGGACCCTGCAAGAGCTCCCTGCAGACAAAAAGTGGCCAAGGAGATTAGCATCTGCAGCACCCGGGTGTCCCTGCCTGTCTTGAGGAGGGTGGTTTTCTTCTTCCTCTTCACAGCACGGAAACCGCCATGTTACAACTTTTTAAAATGGAAATTAGAGTTGTAAACATTATTACTTTTATTATAAATGCCATCTGCTCTGGTATGAGGGTCTGTTGCATGTTTTTTGCATGTTGAGATCCTGCGATCCAGATCTTCCTTTTATTTCCCCCTAGGTTATATCGAAGCAGCCGTGATCCCTGCTGGAGCCCGACGGATCCGTGTGATGGAAGATAAACCTGCTCACAGTTTTCTGGGTAAAAGACTGAGAGAGAGAGGGAGAGAGGGAGAGGGGGGGGGAGGCTTAGAAACAGAGAAACAGAGTGAGTCAGAAGGGGTCCCCCGGGCCATCTAGCCTGACCCCTGGCTCCAGCTGGCTCTCCAACTTGTGTCCTTGTTTTCCTACTCTTAAGGACAGGGATGGGGAACATGTTTCCCTCCAGACCTGGCATAGCCTAATAACAGCTCTAGGGTCACTTGTTTCCCATCTCTGCTTGGAGGCAACGTAATTCAGGAAGAAGTACCGCCTGTAATGGCTGTTCCAGTCGGAACTCCCATTTTTCCAAGGCTGCCTTTTAGGACTGTGGGAAGATTTCAGAAGAAAAAGTTTTGAGGTCAATGTACAGGAATAGCTACAGGAATCTCTTAACAGATTTATCACAAGTGGGACCTGCACAAATGCGTTACAGAGCATCCTTACCTTCCGCTCATTGCTTGCATTCAGGGTTCCAAGCAGCTGGACATGCTGTCCTCTAGGATTTTAAAGAAATTATAAGGCACCAAAGCTGACCATTCCATTCCCCACCACCTGCGAGTTTCCATTTTTTCCCAGCAATTGCTTAGGCCTCAGCAGGATCTTTTTGGATAGGCCGCCCCTTAGGTGCTTGGTTTTTAAATTATTTTGTACTCCTAGAAGCATCAGAACCCTTCCCTGATCGTGCTGATACCTCCCTCCCCCCTCTTTTTTTTTTGTCAGTAGTCCTGTTATGGCTTCATTTCTCTCAGCACTTACCCACAGAGTTTGCTATTAGGGGAGTGGTTATACTATTCGTGGGTTTATTATCAGCACATTTTGAAGTAGAATTGCTCACTACGCTTGTCTAGAGCCATACTCCCAAGAAGAGGCCAAAATGTCAGGCTGCTCTGTTGGGTCATATCAACAAACTGCTTCTAGCAGTTTTCATCTCTGCCTGGAGGAGGTCTGCCCCGTCAGCACCAAGCCGTCAGTAACCGTGGTGCACTGCCGGAGGGAACATTATAATGTGGCTGAGAAAATTCATTTCCACAAACAAATGGGCGCAACTGCAGCTTGCAACCCTGCAGGGAAGCCTAAGCTAAGAGAGATGCACTCTGTGCTTAGAAGAAGTCGGCACTAAAGAAAAGGACTGTGGAACCTGTGCAGAAGTGTGGGCCAAGCAACGTTTTATGTTTGCTTTGCCTAATTCCTTTAGCTTCTGCTTCTCACTGTGAGAGAGGCAAGAAGCCTCCACTTGAAAAGGCTCAGCCACCACTTTGGACTTGCCTTTTCAGTTGATTTTCATATCCATAAGGGCTAGAAACTTACTTTCAAGAACAAAAAGAAATCGAATGAAAGCTGAAATGCTCAGAAAGCTGGATTCTATGCCTAACACTACATTTTACTGGATTTCCTCCTCCAAAAGGCTGCGCAGCCTCCAAGATTACAGTGAGATCCATTCTTTGATCTCTTGCCTGCGACTGCCCACGTTTCTGCTTACATGGCAGCCCAGGTTTGTTTTTTCTTGAGGTGGTTGTGGGGGAGACTAAAATTACGCCTACTTGGAAGACTTTGACATAGCAAAGCTTTGGAGAACAATGAACGCCAGTGTTCTGGATCATTGCTTTCAGAAGCCTGCATTTTTATTTGTCTTGGTTGGGTTAATTTGGATGCTTACTGTCAGCACAATTTTGTCAGCGAAGACAGACATAATATTAAAAAGACCATTCACATCACATCCGCGGGGCATGCCTAGCTGGCTCCTGGTTCCTCAGCTGGAGAGGCATGGCGAAGCTTCTCTCCCGCTCCCACCCGACACAATGCTCCGGCTTGGCTCTTCCCCTGTTAAGAAGCAAGGAGCTGCCTTCCACATTCTGGCATCCGGCAGTTTGTTGCCTCATTTCTGTAAATCTCTCTGCACGTATCTGAGCCTATGTGATGGTATTTGTAAGGTCAACGTTGCTCCAGGGAAAGGAGGATAACTTTTAGAGGGTGAGCTCACAACCAGCTGGCCAGTGCCTTCCCCCCTCCCCCTTTTAGAGGGCTGCAGGTGCCTTTAGACTTAAGAAGCCGAACCCTCACCCTTTAAAGCATCTGGCAGGGCACTGGGTGGCATCAAAAGTGTTCCCTCTGCCATGATCCTTCGTGTGACAAATGCCACACTGGATTCGCATCCTGCTCTTAGAAACAGTTTAAGCTGGGGACTAAGCTTGCTTCCTGAAAGCCCAAAACCAGCATATGTGTGCCTGCGTGGATTGGTTGGTAACATTCCTATGGTGACTGGCACTTTTTAAAAAGCAACCATTGCAGAGTCTCTTCAAATATACCACTTCCCCCCTCATCAACACACTCGCAGATGCATCCCAAAAGCAGACTTTGGAACTGTGCTGGAACTCTAGTCCACACTCCCCTGCCGGTCCCCCCCCCACTTGCTCCCCCCCCCCCCCACTTCCATTCCTCCAAATTGTGGCAGCTTTGTGCAAGTCTCTGCTGATCAGATGGAAATCACTGGGAATTGTGGTTTGTGTTTTGCCTGGCAGCCACACAGTGTTCCTCTCTGCCTCTCTGTGTCCACCCCCTCCCCCCCCCCCCGCTGCCCCCAAAAAGCAGACAGCTTTCTGTGGCTACCATGGTGGCAGGAGAAATGTTGGGGATCTGGACTCCAGCCAGGAGCCAAGGTGGGGTGGCCCATGGGAGGAGGAGGGTGGGTGCCGCTCAGCATTTGCATTCTCTGTGTTGCCCGGGCAGCCGCTTACAGCAAAGCAGGGCCTGCTGCCTCCGGGGAGGGCCTGGCATGCCCTCCAGAGCTTCCCACTGCCTCCAAGTGTAAAGATGTAATGCTTTGCTATCAAAGCCTCGCAGGAAAATGTGGGCAAAGATCCAGCAGAGTAAGCAGGATAATTGGGAAATCAAAGTGCTACAATTTCCTGCCACTGTAATGTTAATAAAGCCTGAGGTCTGTGCAAACAAAGCTGTGTTTAACCTTGGAGCGGTGGCTGGAGCCAATTACACTTTCAGCGTGTAGACCAGGTCAGTCTCATTTCCACCAGGCACTGAGTAGGCGCTCTGGAAATGAGCTCAGCTTCAGGCTGAACTGAGGTTCCTTTTGCTGGGAGCAGTTCCTTCCACCTACGTCTGTCCCATTTTGCCTGGCTCCATTGGCTTTTGCACGCCATCTTGGACAGCAAATGCCTGGCAGCTTGTTGGGGAGGGAGCTGGAAGGAGCCTGAGCGGAGAGTGAGACCAGAGTCAGTGCCAGCCTTGGAGAAGAGGCTGCTTCCCATCCTGGAGGAAGAGAGAAGAGTGTGGCATGGAGGGCCGATAGGTGTGGGGAGAAGTAGTGCTGGCTTTAGGGCTGTGAGCGTCTCGGGAATGGAACTGGGGAGGGGATGCAGTCTTCTGGGGAAACCCAGAGCCTCGATTGGCAGCCCCCGTGTGCCAGATTTGACCTCTCGGCCTGAGATTCAACAACCCTGCCGGGTATTCCAAAGAACAGGGAAAATCAGAAAGGCATCTCATAGACGAGGTCAGTTTTCAGTACCTGGAGAACTTTTAAATGGCCTTTGCAGTGAAGGATACTTTTCTGTGAAAGGAAATGGATATAATAAGCAAGGCTAGACAACTCTGCAGGGGCCGCTTTGAAAGAGCTTGAGAAAGCAACAGTGAGGGACGGGGCCTTCTTGGTGGTAACTCCCCAATTATGGAATGTTATCTTTTTGTATGCCAGGTTAAGACATTCTTTTCTCAGGTACCTGGCAGGATATGAAGAGCTTCTGATCAGGTTTTGATTGTTGTGGATAATTTTCTCCCCATCTCTCTCTCTGTTCTATATTTACATGTCTGTATGCACATGGTTTTAGCAGCATAATTTTAAGATTCTAATCTTTGTACACTGTCCAAAGAGCTTTGGTCATTGGGTGGTATAGAAGTTTAATTGATGACAAGGAAAATTACTTAGAAACATAGAAACAGAGCGAGTCTGAACGGGTCTCCCGGGCCATCTAGTCTGACCTCCGGCACCAGCTGACTCCGCTCATGACATGCCCACCATGTGCACGTCCAGCCTGTCCTTGAACACCCGCACCGATGGGGCCTTAACGACCTCTCGTGGAAGACCATTCCACACCCTCGGGGTCCTGACTGTCAGGAAGTGCTTCCTGGCATCCAAATGGAGCCTTGGCTCCCTGAGCTTTGCTCCGTTGGAGCGCGTCCTGCCTTCCTCTGCAGGGGAGAACAGGTCTCTACCCACCTCCGTGTGACATCCCCACACATACCTGTATGTCGCCAACATATCCTCTCTGAGTCTCCTCTTCTCCAGGCTGAAGAGACCCAGTTCCGTCAGTCTCGCCTCATACGGCATCCCCTGCAAACCGGCCACCAGCCTTGTGGCCCTACGCTGCACTGACTCCAACCTGGCTATATCCCTTCTGTAATGAGGGGCCCAAAACTGAGCACAATACTCCAGTTGCGGGCGCACCAGAGTCGTATAGAGTGGTAGCAATACCTCTCTCGATCTAAAAGCCACACTTCTGGCTACGCAACCAAGGGTGGCGTTCACCCTCTTGACCACCGCATCACACTGCTGACTCATGTTTAGCCTACAGTCAACCAGCACCCCGAGGTCCCTTTCACAAGTGCTGCTCTCCAGCCACTTGTCACCTGACCTGTACTTATGACAGCTATTCCTATGCCCCAAGTGCAAGACCTTGCACTTATCCACATTGAACACCATCCTGTTGTCTCCTGCCCACTTCCATAGTCTGTCCAGATCCTTTTGGATCTGGAGTACCTGCTCCTCAGTTGTGGCCACTGGTCCAGTTTTAGTGTTGTCTGCGAATATGATCAGCAGACTGTTCACCCCTTCTTCCATGTCGTTAATGAAAAGATTAAACAGGATCGGCCCCAGGACAGAGCCCTGTGGGACCCCGCTTGTCACTGGCCACCATCCCGATGATTCCCCACTAATGGTGACCTTCTGCTTTTGGTCAGTCAACCATGCCCTAATCCACCAGACAGCGCTTTGGTGTATCCCAAAACTCCTCAGTTTCTCCACCAGGATATCATGGGGCACTTTGTCAAAGGCCTTGCTGAAATCCAGGTATACCACATCCACTGCATCCCCTCCATCTAGCCATTGGGAAACCTTGTCATAGAATTCCACAAGGTTTGTCTGGCAGGACCTGTTTTTGCAGAAGCCGTGTTGTGTGGCTGTCAGCCTCCCTTCCCTATCTAGCATCACTAGATCTCTCTCTATTATGAACCTTTCCATAGTTTTTCCTACAATGGACGTAAGGCTAATCGGTCTATAATTCCCCATGTCCCTTCTGCTACCCTTTTTGAAAATTGGGACCACTGATGCCACCCTCCATTCCTCTGGAACTTCACCCGTTCTCCATGAGGTCTCAAAAATGGAGGCCAGCGGGTGTGAGAGAACCCCTGCCAATTCTCTAAGTACTCTCGGGTGTAACCCGTCAGGGCCTGGCACCTTTGGAATGTCCAATGCCCTGAGGAGCCCCTCGACTTCAAGGGGGGGTGACTCTAATCTGTACCCCTAAGTCCCCAGCCTCATCTAATCTCCTATGCAGATATCCCCCGTCCTGCTTTGGGGAGAACACAGAGGCAAAATAGTCATTTAGCATCTGTGCCTGTTCCCTCATATCAGTCACTGGATCACCTTCCACCTTATTTAGTGGTCCCACCACTTGTCTCCCCTTTCTCTTGCTATTTACATGCTGAAAGAAGCCCTTTTTGTTGCTCTTGATATTCTTGGCAAGTCTCAGCTCGTAATCAGCCTTAGCCTTGCGAAGAATCCTTCTGCAACAGGCCTCCTCCTCCCAGTATACCCTTTTGTCTGTTTGCACCAGTACGCATTTTCTACGGAGGTTCCTCTTTCGTCTAATCCCTCTAACCACCTCCTTTCGCATCCATGGCGGCACTCTCCTCCGCCTCCCCACCTTAATGACTAGAGGTATCATCAAGGCTTGCGCCTCCAAAACCTCCCTTTTGAGTGCCATCCACCCCTCCTCAACTCGCTTACCTTCCAGTAACCTATCCCAGGTGACTTTCCCCAGTCTGGCCTTCAGTTGGCCCAAGTTGGCCCTCTTGATGTCCCAGCTTCTAGTGCTCGACCTGCTGCACGTCCCCAGTCCCCTGATCTCAAAGCAAAGGATGAAGTGATCACTCGTATCCAGAGCTCCCCTAATCTGTACTTCATCTATCAGCTCCTCCCTATTGTTAAGGATTTTCCCCCCCCCCCGTCACCTCTCGGACCCTCTGTGTGAAAAACCCTCCCTCTATAGCTTCTAGGAAGCAACGTGACCTGGCTGTCACTGCCGAGTGTGTTTCCCAAGTAATATCCGGGAGACTGAAATCTCCCATAATTACTGTGTCTCTCCCTCGAGATATCCTTAGAATCTGGCCTGTCAGGACATCATCCAGGGTCTCAAGTTGACCTGGAGGGCGATAACATACCCTCACTGTCAGGTCTCCTTCCCTGTCAAAACCCCTGTTTCACCCTGACTGCCTCTACCGAATCCCCCTCTGTGCTGCATTCTGTCTCACTGCATCCTATCCCTTCCCTGACGTATAAAGCCACGTCCCCACCCCTCTTTCCCTTCCTGTCCTTTCTAAAAAGGTGATACCCTTCTATGTTCACATTCCAGACTTGCCTTTCATCCCACCAAGTGTCTGTGATTCCCACCATATCATACCCTCCTATTCCCAGGAGAGCTTCAAGCTCTTCCTGCGTATTACCCATGCTCCTAGCACTGGTGTATATACACCTCAACTCCTTCCCACCGCTTCCTTTCCTTGGAGTTCCCAGCCTCCTCCTTCCTCTCATCCTCCCTGATACCTGGCCCCTCTCTGTAGGAGTCCTGTCAGTCCCTGCAGTATCTCTAAAACCCTGCTCCCAGAGCCCTGATCCTCCCCCCACACTTGTCCAGTGCAGACATGTTACTGGGGGGCCTGAACCCCCCCCCCGGCTCAGTTTAACGTCTTCCGAAGCTCGCTAGAGCATCTCCAAAGGACCTTTTCCCATCCTCGTGAGGTGTAACCCATCCCTTGCCAGAAGTCCATTGGCAAGAAAATGAGTGCCGTGGTGAAGGAACCCGAAGCGTTCCTTCTGGCGCCACACCCTAAGCCAGTCGCTCACCTCGGAGGCCCTCCTGTCCCTTCCTGGCCCAAATCCCCGGACAGGTAAGATTGACGAGAAGGCCACTTGGGCCTTCAGCTCCCTGAGTTTCTTCCCTAAGGCTTCAAAGTCCCTGGTGGTCCCAACCACACCCTGCCTGGCCACGTCGTTTGTGCCCACGTGGATCACCAGAAGTGGCTGGTGACCCCCGGAGCAAACAAGACGCTCCACTCTGTCCTTCACATGCCGGATGCGTGTGCCCAGCAGGCAGCAGACCTCCCTTGTCTCCAGGTTGGGGCGGCACACTGCCGCCTCAGTGCCCCTCAGCAGGGAGTCCCCAACAACAATCACCTCCGCCGTACCTTCCCGGTGCTGGTGGGCGGCCGTGCCCTGGCCCTCGCCTCTCCCGCAGCGGCCCCCTTGCCGCCTGACGTCCCAGGCTGGGGGTCCTGCTGGTCCCCCGAGGCCTCATCAGCCCCAGCCTCCCCAAGTGGAGAGAACCTGTTTCCCAACTCCAGATTGGTGCCATGTCCTCCTGTGGGTGACATACCTCCATGTCTCCGTGGCTGCTCCTCCCGTGGCCTCTCCCTCAACCCTCTGTCCAGAGGGGGGCTGCTCCGGGGGGGTCTGGAGAGCTCTCTCGGCCCTCAGGCACCTCACCTCCTCTTCTAGCAGGGTCACCATCTTGCACCGAGGGCAAGTGTATCCCTGCCTCTCCTGGGGGAGAAGGGCGAACATGTCGCAGCTCTCGCAGCGGACAGCAACACCCGCGACACCCGCCAAGGCCATCTCCTGGTCTGACATCAGGATCCCTTCCGAGACCTTACCTTGGTCCCCTGCCTGGTTTCTCCTGCCGTTCCTCTCACTCGCCCAGTTCTCCCAGACCAAAACCCACTCGCACACACACACACAAGGATAAAATAAACTTAAATTTATAAAATAAACTTAAATTTAAATTGGAGGAAAAACAAAACAAAGCACAGCACAGCACCAACAAAACAAAACAAAACAAAACAAAGAAAGAAAGAAAAAAGGAAAGGAAAGGAACCCCCCTCTGCGTCCTAGGGAAGGGAGTCCCTGGACAGCCTGGGCCACAGCTAAGGGACACAGACAAGGGACGACGCCAAGAGGCCAGAGCCAAAAGGGCTGGCAGTGGCTGAGCGCAGCCTTATCAGTCCCTCAGGCTGGTGGCCCCGCCCCCTGCTCCCTCCTGGCCCCTCCCACCTCTCTGGCCCCACCCCCTTCCTCTCCGTTGCTCCTTGCCCTCTGCTCCCCTGCCCAGCTCCTACCTGCCTTCACCAGTCCCCTGGCCACTCAGCCTCTCTCCCTGCCTGTGCCTCTGCTGCTCTGCCAAGAGGCCAGAGCCAAAAAAGCTTATTTATTTATTATATCCATATCCCACTTTTCTCCCTTTCAAGGAACTCAAGGCAGTTTATATCACTCTCCTCCTCCTCTCAATCTAATCCTCACAACAACCCTCTGAGGTAGTTTGGGCTGAGAGTCTGTGGCTGGCCCAAAGCCACCCTGTGAGCTCCATGCCTGAGTGGGGACTAGAACCCGGGTCTCCTGAGTCCCAGCCCAGCTCTTAACCACTGCACCACCTTGGTTCTCAGTGTGAAATGAAATTCCAGATACCATTCCTTCTCAATAATAGTTTTAAATGGCTCCACGCTTTCTTTCTTTCCTCTTTTTAAAGCCATTATTTAATCACCCAGATCAGTTCTTCTTACTGGTGACCATTATATGGTTGTTTCATACGATCTTTGCATTGATTCCAGTGCAACAAACCACTCATCAAGTTTACCATAACTTCCTAATGAACATTGAACCCTGAAGAAAATCCAGGTCTTCTGAGTGAGCTTTATTACACTGAACACAAGCAGAGCTTGGGGGCTGCACAGCTCTGGCCTGCAACCCTTGCTGGTCTTGGCCAGCACAGCTAATGCTAAAGGAGGATGGGAGTTACGGGCCAAAATATCCACATTCCCCACCTGGAAGTGCAGGTTGCACAAAACAAGGCTGTTCTGGTAAAGCTCAGCTTTCGCTGGAAGAGGAGTTACTCCCTACTCTCCAATACTCCCTTGTGTTTGCAAAAAAAGCGGGGGAGGGGGAAGGTGTGCCAGTCGTCCATGGAAGGTCTACTGCATCAAGAGCAGAATGGATGGGGCAGAATGGATGGGACATCTTGGTAGCTCACTAGGGTGGGCCGCAGTGGAAATGCCCCGGGGAGCCTCCTTGCAAAGGGGCATCTGCTGTGCGACTGGACCATGACTTTTTCTCCCCAGCGATGGATTTGCTAACCTCTTCCTTCCATGCCGTTCAATTCTTTCTAGCTTTGAAAGACTCCAGTAAGAAATCCATTAATAGTGACTGGAAAATAGAACTTCCTGGAGAGTTTCAGATCGCAGGGACAACAGTCCGGTATGTCCGAAGAGGGCTGTGGGAGAAGATCTCCGCCAAGGGACCTACTAAAATACCACTGCACTTAATGGTAATTCTGTACCTTTTCATTGCCTTTCTCCAGGGTTTAACATCATGACAGGGCTAGGCTTGGTTGCTTTTCAGGAACGGGTTTCCTCCTTCCTCAGTTCCAGGTGTGATCGCCATGCAAGTCCCAAGGACAAGTAGAAACCTCTCCACTCAGACCAGTGTAGTTTAGGGGTAGAGTAAGGAGACAAGGAGAACTTGGTCAAAACTACTTTGTACCTTACTGGGTAACCATAAGCTCACCAATGTGACTGGCTTGCTATTGGGTTCAGCATGGGATGAATCCATGTACACCAGGCTAAATGTCTTGGAAGTAGGACATGAAACAAATTTGACAGCTGGGATCAGCCTCAGCCTGAATGATGCAATTTGATGCAATTTTAATTATAATGTGGAATTTATGGAAAGGCACTTTAAGAACTTGGCTAAAAAGCAACTTAAATTTAAATAGCCCTATTCATAGTAAAAGGAAGCAATAACCAACATGCTTTGAGCAACCATTTCAAATTTTCTATCCATAAGGGAAACTTTTTACAATGGTCTGACTGCTTGGGCACCTTCTGAACTCTGCTACAGTAATCCAGTGTATTGCATGTTAATGGGAACATACTTGGGTCACCCTGCCTGGCTCTCAGCGGAGATTTCCTGGGCTGGTCAGGCCCCACCTCTGTCTCAGAAGGAACAGAGATTTCCTTTCAAACAGAAATGGGCAGAAGGTAGATCTGGATCTACTGGTAGATCACTGGATGATTTGCAGTGGATGGACAAGGATTTTTGTGTTGCAGCTGTTTACCGATAGCATCAATGAGATGACTCTCCACTGCCGAAGGGATTCAGTGGAACCAGGAGTGAATTTTTAATGGAAGGACTTGGGGACTAATGCAGTTGGTGCTCAAAACATATTCCTAGACTCAGGAAGCTTTAGCTCTGTGTGTATGTGATTTGCACCCAGCTCCTATCGGTGTCCCTTCGAGTTTCATTAAGGAACAAAACGAAAGCAGAAAATGAAAGCGGATGCAGCGGACAGCAGGGCTAGCATGGAGACAGGGATGCTGGGGTTCCTGCCAAGGCCCCACAGCCCAGCAGGGGTCCTCCTCTTCTGCCTCGCGGCCCGCTGTGGGGCCGGCATCTCGCGTTGCCCCGCCAGTGGCGTGGTGGTGAGAGGGAGGAGCGGGGCTGCCCCTGGTGTCACTGCCCGGCGCTTCCTGGCAGCGCTCGGCCTGCAGGGACCCCCGTGCTGAACAGGAACATAGGGGCGTTGAAGGTCCCTTGCCCAAGGGCCCTCCAGATGCTGGAGCCAGCCCGGAGCCCGGCCCGCAGCATGCCCGGACTTCCCTGCAGCGATGCGGTGCTGCGGGAGATGCACCGTGGGGCAGGCTGCCTTGCAGAGATGCTTCTCCCACGTTTCTTTTCACTTCACATACGTGTCCAAGCAGCCATGCGGGCGGGAAAGCACCGTTCTATACAATGTCAGAATGCAGGAAGCACCTGAGTGAGCACATCCGTGGCCTCTCTTTGAAATCCGTTCCGTTCTGTTCCCCCCCCTCCCTCTCCCTCCCTCCCTCAAGCACACACACACAATATATACACATTTGTAGTTGGCTGCACGAAACTGATTTCAAGTGAGCCCTTAAGATTTTTCAGCCTTTTTGCAAATCGAGATAATAAGGATCTCTCTCTCTCTCTCTCTCTCTCTCTCTCTCTCTCTCTCTCTCTCTCTCTCTCTCTCTCTCTCTCTCTCAGGAGCTTGCCTTTTCTTCTCTTTCTTTTTTTCAAATGCCTGAGGCATTTCTCCAAATGCGTTACTGTAAGTATGTTTCTTGGATAAATGAGTGTTTGTGCAGCAAGGTCTGATTCAGGCCTCCACTTGGCAGTGCAGCCCACCCCAGCCCCCAAGGTGCTTCCAAAAAGGGCAGCTTCCTTCAGGCTGTGCAGCGGAGTCGTTAGTATCGCCTTTGCTGAAGTCAGGGCAGGGCGGGACTGCATCTTGTGCTGGCGAAGGCCGAGGCTTTTGGATCCTGCAAAAAGCTTTAAAACTAGAGCTGATTGTCTGGTTTGTCTTAGCTTTGGCTTCCAACTCAGACTAATAAAGCTCCCTCTGTAGCTACAGATGTGTCTTTTATTTCCCCCCATCTTGCAAAAGATATTTGTCTGTTTTCGTACAGATCAGCAAAAAAGTAAAAAACGGCGAAGAGTGCCAACTTTCATAGAACGAAAGGCCTGGAAGGGCCTCAGGGGTCATCTGGCCCAGCGTCTTCACAGAGGCAGGACCGACCTGGCCAAGCCGTCCACAGCACGTGTTCGCCCAAGCAGTCTGCTTCACTTTATGCTCCCACCTTAGATCATGGCAGATCCACATATGACCTGGGTCTGGGCCTCAGCCATCAGCAGAATCCAGACAGGGGGGGCTGCCTTGGCCAGCCCATCCTCCCCGTGACATCATTTGCTGGAGCTGGCGTCTTGCCTGCAGCAAGCTGAAAGGGCTTTCCTGTTCTAGCAAGGGCAAAAGGCTGGGCTTCCTAGTGGTGACACCAGCCCAGATCAGGTCAGAGTTCAGATTACTAAAGTCCCCATGATCTGAGCCCTAATCGCTGATTTCTGACCAGTTCACTAGGCCAGGTCCCAAGAGTGTGATGTCATGCTTAGGGATTAACCACCCTGCTGTCCCCAAAGGAATTCGGGTTCATGTAGATGGTCCCCCCACTTTATCCTCTTAGCAACCCTGTGAGGTTGGTTAGGCTGGGAGGACGTGGCTGGCCCTTGGTCACCCACTGATCTTCATAGCCGGATGATGGAACCTTGGTCTTTTCCTTCTTACTGCAACACAAGTTATTGGTTCAAGGTCTCTCATGTAGAGTTGGTTGGTTTCTTGTTGTGGAAGGTGACCTTTTTTGAACAGTATATGCTGGGCTCATATGACCAGCTGGGTGGGGTGTCCATCCAAGGCACCCTGCTTTTACCTTTACTTAAGAAGACTCAAATCTACCAGTGTCGAAGCTGACATACAATATATTGTAATCTGCATATAATGTGGATGCAGATTACTCATAAACAAGCAAAGAACCTTTATGTTCCCTGTCTCTGTGATCCTGTTGGTCCCCCAAGAGGTGCTGGGGTGCTCTGGGGACTCCCGATGGCTGCTGGGCAAGTGATGCATCAGTTTGTCTCCCAGGCTGGGAATGAAAGACCGTTCCTCTCTGATAAGGTTCCCCTCACCCACTTCTGCACCGCCTGTCAGGACCTGCCCCATCTCCCTCCCCCTTTTCCTGGGAATGAAGCTGCTTCAGCACGGGAAACGGCTTCATTCTCACCGCACAGGCATGCCTTATCTGCAGAATGACGGCGGAAGGCAACTTCAAGGCCATTATTTCTGGTCCTCTTCTCAACAAGTGAAGGCCATGAGACTTTGGCACTCCTTCAAGAAACTAAGTTTGCTTTAGGATATTGCGAAATTTCACTACAATACCTGTTGAACCTCAATAACCTCCTCACCCTTCTGGCACAGCCGACACAATGGCTTCTTTACTGCTCCATAACTTGGAAATCTCAAAACTCAGGCTGCCAGGTATGTGGTGATAGGTATAGTTTCGTCTGCTCAGGTGTTGGCAGAAAGCAAAAATAGTTGGTTAGATTTATTATTTATTTCTCCAATGTGTGCCCTGTTTTTCAGTCAAGAAAATGGTGCTCAGGGTGGCTAACCATTATAAAAACTCTAAGAACTTGTTTAAATAATAATAAAACAAATACATAAAGGCACAAATCAAAGCACAAACATACAGAGGATAAACAGCATAGCACCCAACAGATGATTTTAGTTATTGGCTCAAGGCCAGCTTAAAAATAAATGCCTTTGCCTGCTATCAGAAAGCTCCCAAGGAGAGAGCCACCTGGTTCCCCGTGGCAGGGGATTCCCAACGGCACGCATGGCCTGGCCTGAGCCAGAGAGCCGTTCTGAAGCACCCGCCACCAGCCTGGTGCAAAAAACAAGTGAGAGGTACAAAAGCATCCGTGGGGCAGCAGGGACTCCTGCTGTTGATGGACGGATAATCTTCCCAGGGCTCTGGATCTATTCCACCAGGCTTGGAGTACCCAGTGATGCCAGTGGAAGTTTTTATGGGGATTGGCTAGAGTGTGTCCCAAGGGATCGTGGTGGGAAAGGGCGACCCACCGCCTCCCCGCATGCTGTTGTCCCCCAACTCCCAACTCCCACATGACACTTACAAAAAAAGAAGAAGGCAGTGCTTCCTTGGGAAGCTTTCTTCTGAGCATAACTGTGAGGGGAGGGAGCAATTTTCCTGCAGAGCAGAAAGCGGGGAGGTGGGCAGGGTCAGCAAGAGAGAGCAAATCACTTCTAATTCTAGAATTGGGGATGATCCAAGGCAAGGTGCAAGGTTCAAAATAGAGCTGCCAGGTTGCTGACGGGGACGGGGCGTTATATTCACATGACTCCAGTCCTCCGACAGCTTCACTGGCTTCCCATTGAAGTCCTAGCCCAATTCAAGGTGTTGGTTATGACCTATAAAGCCCTAAACGGCTTGGGACCTGGTTACCTGAAGGAGTGCTTACATCCATATATGCCTGACCACCCCTTGAGATCTGCGGGAGAGGCCCTTCTCCGGGAACCCTCCGTGAAAGAAATTAGGAGGGTAGGTACTCGGAGGAGGGCTTTCTCTGCGGTGGTGCCCAATCTATGGAATGTGCTCCCCAGAGAGGTCCGCCTGGCGTCGTCGTTATTTGTTTTTTGATGCCAGGTGAAGACCTTTTTATTTAAACGTCATTTTAATTGTTAACAATATTTACTTATTTATCTGGCCAGGGCGACTTCTTTTCTTTTATAACTTTTCTAACTTCTTTTATATCGTTTATATTTTTTATTTATTTTATATTATTAATTTTAATTTTATATTGCTATTTTTGTATTGTATTGTATTTTATTGTGTTGTAAGCCGCCCCGAGGCTTTGGCAAGGGACGGCATAGAAATATTCTAATAATAATAATAATAATAATAATAATAATAATAATCAATTCTTAAAATCTTTCTTGAGCTCATTTGGTCAAGAGCTTGCCAACCACAAAGCTTCCTGTTGCACAAGAGGGGACTCGAACCTGAATCACCCCCTGGCACCACACAGGCTCTTCTGGACCTGAGGCAACATTTTGTCCCGCCTGTTCTGTCTCGTTCGGTGAAGTCTGAGCAGTTCCAGATGCCCCGAGCCACCCCAGGGTGGGATCGGTCCCGGCTGGCACCATGCCCTGCCGTACATCTGACTGCGCATTGGCGCGTTCGCTCATGGCTCACTGTGTTCTGTGCGCTTCTCGCCACCTCTGCCAAGCCCATGTGCCATTTCACGGCCACGCAACCTGCTTGCCCACTGCTCCCCTGCATCCCCATCCTCATTCCAACCTTCTGCGACCTCTATTACATCTCCTGCCCCCCTGAATTCCCCTCCCCACAAAGAATTAAATGGTTGCAATAAGTAACAGTTTAGTCAACCCACTCGTGAATGCTGAGTAGCTCCAAGGCATACAGGAAGCGAGGGGGCTTGATGTCGTGTTTCCTGCAGTTGTAGCTGCTTCTGATTGGGTGGCCAGGAATGAACTGCTTGGTCAAGGGGAAGCTGAATCTGTGTGTTTCATCCTGAAGGTGCTGATGGCCTAGAAGGCTTTATAAGCTGCATTTTCTGCCAGGTTGGCATGGAAAGAGGCATATAAAGAGGCTTGAAGGAACAGTGCACAAAGCATCAAACCCTTGATGTTCTTCCAAGCAGCCTGAAATTGCTGTCCATGGTTGTTAGCCAGGATTGTCAACCAGCAACTTGGGGTTCAGAAGCAGTGCACACTGCTGAAAAGGGTACGAGTTGCCAGCTGTGGGGGAGAGAAGGACAGAGCACTGCCACCTCCCCATCTTCTATAGCGTCGCAGGAGATCCTGGGATGCATTCCTTCATGCCATGCTGCACTCCTTAGCCATTTCAGAGGATAGGACGGCTCCCTTCAGGCAGCATCCAACAGTGTCGTTCTGTGAACTCAGATAGGCCTAGCAGAGTCCCACTGAATCTTTCAAGCAGTTGCGCATCACGCTTGCAGGCTGTTGCTCGGCCGGTTGGACAATGCAGTGTGTGGCCAGTTGCATGGCAAAAACATCATGTGCAAATGTGTGTAGCCACTATGTACATTTGCACTGATGCAATTGTAACTTTAGTGGGATTGTCCCTTGTACATAGTTTAGAACCTCGTTCCCACCAGCTTGGTGGCACAGTCAAATATTTCCTATAGCCCACTTTCCAAAATAAAATCTCTCCAAGCAACTTGAGGTGCTTTTGTAGCTGAATTGGTCATTGGCTTGTCCTGAAGATATGAAAGTTGGCTTTAATTAGCTAGAACTCGAGTATGTTAAATCAAATTTAAATGCTGCATTTCCATGGATAATCTGATCCAGGCAGAAGCATCAGCTCTGTTTACTCTGCATAAGGATCCAGTCCCAGGGCTGGAATTTCCTGACATGGTTCTTTTAGTGCCACAGCCCCACATGCTACCCCCGGACCCACTGCAACCTGATTGGAACCTGGAAGTATTCAGGGTTTAGCAGTTTCTGTATCACCACTCTCCTTTTTAGATGCTGGAGATGCTGGCTTAGTTCTTAATGCTTGGCTGGCTCTCTATCCCCTGCCATCCCTGGAATTCCACCTGTCTGTGTGACTGTTCATGGAAAAGGGCTCTGATGTCTGGCCTTGACTGGGCTGTTTAGTGTCTGGATTTCTGTGCAGGTGAAAATATCTTTTGGCGCTTTTGGGTCTAGCTCTGCCTGATGGCCCCAAGGCTGAGTCCTGATGGTGGGCAGCAGGAAACCTTTGTCAACCCAAGGCTCCGATGCAGTGTCAGTGGAAATGGAGGGCTGCCTTCTGGAGTTGGATGGAACCGAAAGCAAAGTTGGTGTGGCCAAAGGCAAAATATGCGGAACAGATATTCCTCCCCACCACCCCAGCCTAAGCTTACTAAGCCTTGGGAGAGGGAATCCAGTCCTTGAGAAAAGAGAAACCTGCACAAAAGCCAGGGAGGCGTTCAGTGAGCAATGAATGAAAAGATGCAGGAGGAGGAGAAAGCGCAGACCTGCCTGAGGAGCGACTCAGGTATGGATCTTTGGCCTGTGTTGGCCTGCGCTTTCTGCTTGCTGAGGAACTAGCGAGCAGGGCCTCAAAACTGCATCCAGGATTCAAGGTCCATACAGACAGGTTGTCTTTTGTAGACAGCAGAAACATTCTCATCTTCCAGCTGACTTCCTCTGAAGGGATGGATTTCTGATTATAGAGCCTTAAACCCGCAGACACAGAGTGATCTTTCACTCAAAACGTAGGATCTAAACCCTTCTTGATTTGTTGCTTGCCATTCCAAAACGTGCATTTCCCTTCCCAGTCATGATCTGCCTCGCTCTCCTTCAATCAGGTGCTGCTATTCCATGACCAGAGTTATGGAATCCATTATGAATACACCATACCTGTTAACTACTCTGCTGAAAACAGGAGTGAACCCGAACACCAGCACGATTCCCTGTACATATGGACACACAGTGGATGGGAAGGCTGTAGCGTGCAGTGTGGAGGAGGTAAGGCTCGTGCGTGGATCTGGAATATTTTGCTGCTGTTATGTGCTGTCAAGTCACCTCCAACTTAGGGTGACCCTGTGAATGAGGACCCACCAGGATGGCCTTTCTTGACTGCCCTGCTGGGCACTTGTAAGCTTAAGGCTAGGGCTTCCTTCCTCTTCCACCTTCCCCCTCCCCTAGCATGATGGTCTTTTCCACTGAGACTCGCCTTCTGAGGATGTGACTTACAATATATTTAAAATTCAGTAGAAGGGCTGCTAGGGACAAAGGTGAATCCAGGTTTTCCTGCACTCTGCCCTGAACCTCCAATTCTCAAAATAACCTCAGTCCAAATGGTTGTACAAGCAGGCAGATCTTTATTTATTTGTTCACCTATTTATTGCATTTCTATACCACCCAATAGCTGGAGCTCTTTGGGCAATTTGCAAAGATGAAAAAGAATGCTGGCAAAACAAGGTATCCCAATTTTGTCTGCTGTTGACTGTTTCTCATAGCTCTGCCCACTCCCAAAAAGTACTGGGTGAGCAGAGGTGCTTTGTGCTCTGAGTGGTGCTGCAGCTGGGTGGACCGTGGTTGACGAAGTTAGCCAATAATGAGCAAAGAACAGCAGCACTAGCAGCAATTTACAACATTGTGTCTGTGTAGTTGTTTGGACCGTAAGAAAGAGGGATGTGCATACACATAGCTTACAAAATACCCACAAGCTACCAAAAAAAATCTAAGAATTCATAAGCATATAAGTAAATGGGATGCATCTTATTTTCTCATAATAGAGAGAGATCTAGTGATGCTAGATAGGGAAGGGAGGCTGACAGCCACACAACACGGCTTCTGCAAAAACAGGTCCTGCCAGTCAAACCTTGTGGAATTCTATGACAAGGTTTCGAGATGGCTAGATGGAGGGGATGCAGTGGATGTGGTTTACCTGGATTTCAGCAAGGCCTTTGACAAAGTGCCCCATGATATCCTGGTGGAGAAACTGAGGAGTTTTGGGATACACCAAAGCACTGTCAGGTGCATTAGGGCATGGTTGACTGACCGAAAGCAGAAGGTAACCATTAGTGGGGAATCATTGGGATGGTGGCCAGTGACAAGCGGGGTCCCCCAGGGCTCTGTCCTGGGGCTGATCCTGTTTAATCTTTTCATTAACAACATGGAAGAAGGGGTGAACAGTCTGCTGATCGAATTCGCAGACGACACTAAAACTGGAGCAGTGGCCACAACTGAGGAGCAGGTACTCCAGATCCAAAAGGATCTGGACAGACTATGGAAGTGGGCAGGAGACTACAGGATGGCGTTCAATGTGGATGAGTGCAAGGTCTTGCACTTGGGGCATAGGAATAGCTGTCATAAGTACAGGTCAGGTGACAAGTGGCTGGAGAGCAGCACTTGTGAAAGGGACCTTGAGGTGCTGGTTGACTGTAGGCTAAACATGAGTCAGCAGTGTGATGCGGTGGTCTAGAGGGCGAATGCCACCCTTGGTTGCATAGCCAGAAGTGTGGCTTCTAGATCGAGAGAGGTATTACTACCTATTACTAAGAGGAGACTCAGAGGGGATCTGTTGGCGACATGCAGGTATGTGAGGGGATGTCACATGGAGATGGGTAGAGACCTGTTCTCCCCTGCAGAGGAAGGCAGGACGCGCTCCAACGGAGCAAAGCTCAGGGAGCCAAGGTTCTGTTTGGATGCCAGGAAGCACTTCCTGACAGGCAGGACCCTGAGGGAGTGGAATGGGCTTCCCCGGGAGGTGGTTCAGGCCCCATCGGTGAGGGTGTTCAAGGATAGGCTGGACATGCACATGGCAAGCATGTCGTGAGTGGAGCCGGCTGGTGCTGGAGGTCAGACTAGATGGCCCGGGGGACCCCTTCTGACTCAGTTTCTATATTTCTATGTTTCTTATGTCAAGTCAGAGTACTGATCCTGCACCGGAGTGGCAGGGAGCATCCTCAGGCCACTAGCATGTGTCCTGGGCCTCTGTTTGAAGGAGGGGAGGGGAGGGGAGGGGAGAGGGGATGCTGTTCCTACTGAAAGTACATAGCTCCTGGCTGCCAAAGTCATTCCCAGTGATGATCTGGAAACTGGAACCCTGTGGTAGGATGGGTAGGATGGACGAAAAAGTGTGACGGCTTGCACAGAAGGCTGTTATATTTTTGTGGTGGAAACCTGTTTTCTTCCACAGTGCCCTAAAATGACCCACTCTCTGGGACCTTGTTGGAAACAAAAGATGAAAGCCCCTCGCCACCAAGGTATCACACTCTGCCAAAGGCCCCAACATGTTGTGGCTCCTGAAATCATTTAAGCTAGAGGTGCCAGGGGTGGAAAAGTGGGAAATCCCAACCCAAAGCAGACAACCCCCAGCACTCTGGAACTACCATGCCCATTTTGAAGACTCCCACCATGATGGTTGTTCCCAGATAACTGGCATTGGGATCACCTGCTGAAAAGCATTCTTGGTGGACCATGTTGTGCCATTTGGCTCTAATCCACAAGAAGTTGCTACGGAAAACAGCCATGTCCAAAAGCCTCTGAGACTCACTCTGAGCCAAGTGGAATGCAAGGAGCCTGAAATCGCTCTTGCTGATTTCTTTGAATTCGGGATAGAAATTCTTTAATGAATAGACACTCCCCACCCGGGAATGACTCTTCCTGGTCCTTTGTTTCGCTTTCAGGAGAGCGTAAAACAATCGTGTCCTGTACGCGGATTGTTAATAAGACCATGATGTTGGTGAACGACAGTGCGTGCCAGCGAGTGACCCGTCCAGAGCCGCAGGTTAGAAGATGCAATGTGCACCCCTGCCAGTCAAGGTAAGGTGCCTGCTGCCACCGCATGGAACGCCTCTCTCAGAACACCTCCCTTGCAAAGTGGAAACGCGCTCAGGCAGGACTGTCTCCGTCAAGGGTGGGCAACGAGCGTCCCTTTTATCTCGGCACAGCTGCCACCCCAGTGCACCTGCCGACATTCAGCTGCTGCCAGTTTGGGCAAAATGCAGCTTCGCGAACGAGCTCGGTTCAGCCCTGCCGTGTTGAGCCGTGTGTCAGAATCTGGTACAAGGCAGTGACAGACGACAGGTGGCTTGATGCCAACTCGCCACAGTGCTGCAGAAGCTGCCGTTCTGGCCCAGGCAGTTGCTATTGTGCTCAGAGGGGGGCGGGGGGCTCCTGAGGTTGCCCACCCTTGATTTAAGTGCACCTCTGATCATGGTTCATGTGGAAGAGAAAGCACAAGGGAGGCGATTGTAATGCAGATGAGGTTTGTGGCCAATGTAGGGTTTGTTTTACATGTGCTTCAGAAACCAGTTGACTGGTGAACTCTCTCTCTCTCTCTCTCTCTCTCTCTCTCTCTCTCTCTCTCTCTCTCTGTGTGTGTGTGTGTGTGTGTGTGAGAGAGAGAGAGGGAGAGAGAGAGAGATTGCGAGAAGTCCTGAAACTATGTGTGTCTTTACCCAAAATGCTATTCTTCCAAGCTTACTGAATCTCTGTAAAAGCATCTGTCCATCGTTGTTAACTTGTTCAGTGGTTACTGCTTGGTAAACAGCGACGGCCCCTTCTGAGAACCAAACAAGAAGCAACATCAGGAGGTCTACACCCATCTTCCGTGTTGCATTTTAGAGGGGCAAGAGCTGCTCCTCAGGTCAGGACAGCGGTGCTGGTCACGAGAAGTGCAACCTTTCCCCTGTGTCCTATGATCCCCAACCTTCTGTCCCCAGAGCTGCCATTTGCCCAGCAGCCTAGACTGTGTGAGCACCGTGCAAAAGCTCACCTGCTTTTTCAGTGGAGCACCTACTAAATATTTATTCTCCCAGTTTTTTTTAACCAATAATGTACTTAAATTAGTTGTAGCAAGTGTGGGCACTAAGGAGTTTTTCACTATTTTATGTTTGCAGTGATGGTTTTAATACATATTTATATTTTTTGTCTTTTTATCTAAACCTTCTTGAGATTTTATAACAATTAGATGGTATATAAGACATTTAAAATAAAATGAATAAAATAAGTCTGGGGAAAGGGAAGCAGCAAAAGTGGGTGGAGGAAGGGCAGAGGTGACCCAGGTCTCCCAGCATCTCTTCCGTTCATTCCCTTGCAGTCCCCCTATGCCTGGGCAGCCGGAGCACTAGCCTGGCTGGAACCTGGCTGGCTGCAGCGTGCTGCATTCCGGTCTTCCTTAACTACCTGGGGTGCCATCTTATGGGAGTGGAAAAGGGCCTTCAGCTCCCAGCTGTGTCCAAATCCTGCTGGAAGTAGGGGGACTTTTTTCCGGCTGAACATGCGTAGTATTGCACCCTTGCCCAAGTAAGCAGCCAGTGCCCACAGGGTGGTTTGCAATCATAAAAAAAGGAACAACCACAAAACAGCAGCAGCAGCAAAGTGCAGAAAAGCAAGTAATCAAAATCATGCACAATTATGTATGAAACCCCCTATACCCAGTTAAAATGTTTAGTAGATCATGAGCAGAAAAACTTCAAGGCCAAGCTGTGTCTGGTGCCACTGCCAACCAAACCCAAACTAATTCAGTTGAAAAGGGGAATTCTAAATTCTCTTGTTCCATGGATTTAATTCTTTCCCTTCATATTGTTCCAAAATTATTGCCTTTGGTGTGGAATTTCCAAAGCAAATGTATAGTCACAACAAAGGGCCATTATCCACAGTCGGACAACCTGAAGGAGTGCGCTCATTGGTTCACTTTGCCTCGAACGCCATGGCAACAAATAGCAACATACAGCCACACCTCCCTCTCTCCCAACATTTCTCCTGTTCCCTCCAGGTCGACCACACATTCACACTTCAGATGCTGCCAAATGGAAACGTTTTCGAAGCACATTCTCTGCGTCTCTGTAGAATTTAAATTTCCATTTGTGTTTGCCCACCCAGATATTAGAAATGCATGCTTGGCATATTCTCTGACCAAGAACATCTTAAAGAGACCATTCTCTTTCACCATGTCTATAGTTTATTTTTCTTTTTTTAAAGAGCCCTTGAGTTTGCTCTCAGAGTTCAAGTGGAATGATTACAACGTAGTTACAGTAACTTCTGTTTTCCTCATCGAGGTTTGCCCTCCTGTCTGTGATTTATTTGAAACTTAGAACAAGGATTACCCTTTTGGTTTCTCCATAGTTTAACTGGCTGTTTGACATTCTCTCTAGTAGAAGTCGCATAATAATTCTTGGTTGTTGAACATGAAATTCATTCGTAGGAAAGTCTGGTTACTCTTTAAGCCCAATGACCAAGTTTTCAGAAAATCTGGGTTCAGTTCCATGATGTGCCAGATCTCCTGAATTTTGCTATGATTTCTTTCTGTATTCATTCATTTAAAATTATTTTAGGCTGTCTTTAACAGTAAAACCTTCTGTTCCCTTTTCTGTATAAAGTTTGTTCAGTTGTCCAGTCTTCAATGATTGAGGACTGAGCTGGGGGAAATGCAGGGAGGATACTAAGGGGTTCAGAAGCTGTATGAAATGAACCGGTGTTTCCCAAATTTCAGGCTATGCCTGTCTTATCAGCTCAGATGGGAGGCAGACTTAAACCTGGAAAGGGGTTGCTTTTAGTATAGGTACAGCCAAGAATTACCTGCAATCAGGAACATCTCAAAGAGAAGTTTACAGGTTGGAGCCAGGATGAGTCATACTAACCTAAGCCCTCTTGATTTTAGTGGGTCGAAAACTACAAGAGTGAATCAAGATCTAACCCAGTCAAAATATGGGTCCTGTTTGGCATGAAATACTTGTGTGTATTTTTAACATAATCAGGCATTTTCTGCATGCCCATTTCTGTGGGATCTCCTTTCTTTTGCCACCCCCATAGAATCTTTTAGTTTTCATCTTGTATTAACATGTTCCCATGTCTCAAACTCACCTCTACCCTTCACTTCTTATTCAGTCCAGTGGATGAAGGATTGAATAAGAAAATTCAGAGTTGATATTAGCACTTTTCAGATGTTCAAGCCACCGCATATGCATGAGTGACTCCACAACAGCCCTGCAGAGTAGGCCAGTATCAGGGTTCTGAAGCTGAACCAGCGGTGGACTCACTAAGCCCCCTGAACAGTATTCGCATCTAAAAGAAGGTTAGAACATGCAGCTGCTTGAGCCCATCCTCAGGCTGTTCAACTTCCTGTTCCAAGCAGCTGTTTGCATGCAAGCAAAGAGCACCACTGTGACTGCGCACCCGCGGAAGTGAAAATTGCATTGGACACAAATTGCCTTTTTGGTCTAACTTTATTCAATACCACGATGTGATGTCCTTTGCTTTCCCCTTCAGGTTCTTATTCCGGGGCTTCAGCAGAGGTGCCTTCATCTTCACCATTCTCTTGCTTCTGTTTCCAACAGCTCCAATTAGCTCAGGGCACTGGGTCAGGGAAGCCTTTGTTAGCTATAATTAGATGGGGAATTCAAACTGTGTAAGAGATACTGAGGAGTCAAATATGGTGAAAGGGAACAGGGGGTGGATGAGACACTTCAGTGTTCCCAGCACTGTTCTGTCTTCCCACCCTCTGAAATTAGGGTGCTGGCGAAGCATCTTTGAGCACAAGTCCTATGCATGTTTCAGCAGAAAAAAAGTCCAATGACTCCCAGCATTCCCCAAACAGCATAACTGGCAGGGGAATGCTGGGAATTGTTAGTACTTTGTTCTGTCTAAACATGAGTAGCACTGTGCCCTTCAGTTTCTGGGCCATATTCTTGTATTGCTTTCTAGCAATTTTATCCCTGATGATGCTCTGGAAGTCAAGGCTGAAGTGTGGTGGATGCACAGTTTAATAAATAATGTCATATCACATTAACCATTTTGCACAGACATTCAGATTGGGTGTCTCTAAGAGAGAGATCTCAGTACTCCAGCTGTCCCCCAATTCAGTTCCCAGGATTTGGGGGTGGAGGCAACGAAATCTACATACATGCATAGCATACAGATACCCAAAGGAACATCTATGGAATGGCTGAAAAGTTTCCCTGTGAAAAGAACTTGTGAGCCAAGAGCAATTCAGAGGGCTTGTGCGCTCGCTCGCGCGCGCGCGCGCGCTCTCTCTCTCTCTCTCTCTCTCTCACACACACACACACACACACACACACACACACACCCCTTCCTTGTCCTTTCACCTGTCTTTTGAAAACCTGTTTTACAAAGACATTTTAACTACTAGCTGAAAATGCCCTAAAATGATGCTTGAAAAAAACCTCCATAAAATTCAAGTCCTGGTATGCTTTTTTCAGCCTGGGGTCTGCTGCTTCCAGAAAGATTGCTTCTAGCACTGTGCACATTTATCCAAAGACATGGTGCAGCAACTCCTCATTTTCCTTCTTACTGAGTATTTTTTGAAATTAGGAAGTGGCGGGGGGGGGGCAGAATCTGGGAGGGTTACAAAGTGAAGACAGGGTTGTCTGGACCCTTGTCAGCAGCTGTGAATAGGGCAGAGGGATTGCATCATGAAAGCCCCTTTGGGAAGACCCCTTGTGTTCCTGAAAGTGAGATGAGATTGCAGGGTGGGGGCAGGGGTGAGGCTGCCCATTCTCCCATCCATCATTGCACAGAATTCCTGGCTTTTCCCATGTCCATCTTCCTGTTCCCTTTCAGACCACTGAACTGGAAAAGAAAGTATGAGGCCGTCTCCTTTCCACTGCCTCCCATTCCTATTCCCTTTAGCCAAGGCCGCAACCTGCTTTTTCTCCAGAGGGTATGGTCCTGCCGTTGAACTGTCATTTCTGAAGGCAAGCGACCCGGGTGGCTTCCCCCAGGCTTTTCACTCCTTTCATCCTGGCTGCTCTCTCCTTTGCTCTCTATCCTTTTCTCTCCTTTCTTTGCCAGTAGCTATAGATCTCCATGGCATTACAATACCCTCGCTCGACTTAATTCAGTGGGGGCCTGGACAGCAGCCATGCTTGCTTCTGCGCTGACAGTAAATTAGTAATGCCCAGAGCTCCATCCCACCTTTACTGTCTGATAGGAACTTTTGGTTCATCACATCTTAATTGTGCACCTGTAATCTTTGTTTTGGTGATCAAACAGGGTCATTTGAAAACAAACCAACAAACCATCTGCCTCACAAAAAGGCCTTCTGGAAAGGTTCTTCTCTTTGTCTTTGGTCTGTTCTCCTTTTCGTAGGTCCTGCCCTATGTGCTGCCTTATCATCAAGAGGAAGAGTAGCTTGCTTTGGCCAGCAAATGAAGTTGACAGGCCTAAAATGACAGGCTCGGAGTCCAGCTTCCTGCAAGGCTGAGATGACTGGTCTGGGCGCAGCCTCCTCTGCAGCTGCTTCGCATGCTTTTGGTGCTCACACAGCACCACTGTTCCAGCTCAGGCACAGAATGGCTGTATTTAGATGGGGATTGTCCTTCTTCAGGCCACCAGGAGCACTGAGCTGGGGCCCCACGCAGGCATTCATGAAATGCATTCCCTTCTCCTCGATTCGTCCCGCGACCTCCAACCAACATGCTTTTGGCATCTTCTACTGCCTCTCAGGTCTTGCCAAATTAGAGATCAGTGGTTTTCAAGGATTGAGAAGGGCAGATTGACAAAAGATTCCAAAGGGATTCCAAAAGAGATTCCAGAAACCAAACCTGGCCAGGAGCAACCAGTTATATTTAATAGCACCTGAGGACATCATGCTATGGGCTACACAATTAGTTAGCAGTTAGTGTATCCTCTTCCCACCCTGAAAGAATTATTTTCCTAAGGGAATTTTAGAAATTGGAATTCTGGAGCTCCTTACCGCTATGAATTAGACAAGCCCCAAGCAGTCTGAGTTTCTGGCTCCCATGGAAAACATACTAGGCAGAATACAGTGGCCTGGACCCTGTCCCCCCATGGGTGTGTGCAGGGGCTCCACCATTTAAGCAGTGCAACTTTAGCACTTCTGGGATAACTGGAAATATGTGCGAACACTTGACTCTGGAAGGAGGCAGGTTGGTGGTGCATAAGGGACCACAGGCCACCTGTCCCCTTTCAGAAGCAAGTGTTTCTGCCCATCTCAGAGCCTCTCCTAGGAAGCATCAAACGTCTCTTGCACTGTGTCTCTTGCGCGGCACAACTGACGGGCCACAGTGCTTGTGCGGCGGAATCAGCCACGTGGAGAAGAATGGGCAGTGGCTCCACACTCCCCTTTTTCAGCAGGCATTCCCAGGATTCCTTGTTGTCTGTATAACATCTGTGTACATTGCCTAGACATGTATTTAATGCAAGCACGTAATAAAACTTGTCGGAAAAATAAAGATGCCCGTTTTTATGACGCTTCTTCTGTGTTCAAAAAGATCATGACATTTGAACACAAACTGGCAGGACGTGAGACACACGCCCACCCTGGGGAAACCTCAGGGCCAGTGAGTCAGGGCAGTTGTGTGCGAATGGGCTGAGGAGCCATCCTGCTAGCACTGACCCCAGCCTTTGCTCTGCTTTCTTAACAGGTGGGTGGCAAGCCAGTGGAGTCCCTGCTCGGCAACCTGTGCCAAAGGCTTCCAGCATCGAGAGGTGTCGTGTGTCTATCAGCTCCAGAATGGCACCTACGTCAACACCAGGGATCTGTTTTGCCCGAGTCCCAAGCCAACGCCAGTGCAGAGCTGTGAAGGCCGAGACTGCCTTTCCGTCTGGGAAGCCTCCGAGTGGTCCCAGGTAAGACAGGCTTGGTGGTGGGAAGAGGCCAGTTGGCATGGAAAGAAGAAACGAGAAAAGGCCCAGAATGGAGGCTGCTGTGCATCGCCCTCTCCCCCCTCACCTGATTCACGACTACTGAACCTCTCTTTTGAAAAAGAACAGTCGAGCGGACAAGTGTTGAAAGTTGTAGTTTTTCCAAATGAATTGAGAATCACTGTGCAAAACAACAAAAAGAAGCCCCTCAAATCCAGTTCCAGGGCCCAGGAAAGGGCAAATTCACTGGGAACTGTAGAGTCAGCCCAAGTTGATTTTGTGCCCCAGAAAGGCATCCTATGTGAGCTAAAATGTGCAAATGGGAGATATCCATGCTGTATGATTGAACTCTCCCACGATTTAAGGGAAAAAAAATCTTAGATGACTTGTGTTGTTAATTGACCTACTTTTATATTTTTGCTGGGAAGAAGATTACTTTATTTCCCATTTCTAATATGTTTTACACCATGACATTTACTTGATTGAAACTTAATGCACTCTTTTAAAGAATTTCAGCATTGCCAATAGAAATAGCATAATTGTGACATTTTCCCATGAATTATTTTGTCTTTTTCTGGCTGCCGAAGGAAAAGAAATTGAATAAAGTATAATATGTAATCTGGTTCCTGGTCAAAATATTGCCTTCTTAAAGCTTAAATCAATGACTAAGATTCACTATGGAGAAAAGTAGTAAATTAATATTTTAATGGGAAACAGTACATTTTTTAGATGTTACATTGCACTACCGACTTTTAATTTCCATAAATTAGCTTTCCCCAACCCAGTTCTCTCCAGAAGTTTTGGACTACAACATCCAGCATTCCTGATCATTGGCCTTCCTAGCTGGGGCTGATGGGAGCCAAAGTCCAAAGCATCAAGTTGGGAAAGGCTGCTATGAACAGAAACCCATTATAGAAAAATATAAGTGGATCAGTTACTGAACTGACACGAATTGGATTAATGTTATATCCTTTATGAGTGCTGTTTTCGGCTTCCCAGAGCCTTTCCATTTCTGCTTTGGTTTACGAGGAAGGGTCATGGTTTTGCTGAAGGGCATGACTCCCTGCATTCTGACAGCCCGGGTCCAATTCTTGGCACCTCCCAATGAACGGATCTCACGTAGCAGGGCTAAGTCCTTGGCCTGGAACCTCTGGGAGCCTCTGCCGACTGGAATAGCAGTGCTGGAAGAGATGAACACAGGCTGTGGCTCATCAAGCTGGCTAGACGAGTCAGTGAAGCAAATACATCAGTCCAGCTGATGCAGTCTAGAAGAATGCTAGGAACTCACATCCTAGATTGCATAAGACTTTAAACAGCTGGCTGGGTTTCCTGCAACTTTCCGCTTGCGCGTGGCTGCACAACCCCTTGCAACTTCTCAGAAGGTACCAGAGCCTGCACAGGACGGTGACGTGCTTGGGCATTTGCCAAGGCCCAGAGGATTAGCAAAGGGCCTGTTGCACGGTCTGTGCTGCAATACTTACCTTGTACAGAATATGCAGGAAAATGCTGGCATGAATCCTCGGTTTTCACATCTTATTCAGGTGAAGGGGTGCACTGTGGATGCCGTGACCCAGAGCATCCCACAGCCTGGTCATGCACAACTGCCAACCTGCACTCCAGTATTGTGTTGCACTACTGACTCTCTCTCTCTCTTTCATGTCTGTTTACATACCAGCACATAAACACGTATCATGCATGCCCTTAAGAGAATCAGTGAGCCACAATTCTTGCAGCCACTTCTCATTATTCCATAAAAATATCAAGGAATTGGAATGACCCAGGCTTTTGGCTTCAAAAGCCGAGCACTGCAAAATAGGAAGGAAGGCTGTTGCAGAGGTGGGGAGATCAAGGACTGGAGCCGTTCTCAGAATCTATGGCTGCAGCCCCTACAGGGTCATATTGTGTCCCTGCCTCTATTTTATGGGGTCTTATAATGGGAGATGTGAGACACATTTGTCAAGATCGCCTCTCTTGCAAGAACTCTTAGCAGACAGGGCGAAGAGAGCATGTTCCCTGATCCCCAACAAGAGGATAGACTTACCATCAGCCTTAAAAACAGAGTTTTTATTCATTTCCGTTCATAATAAGTTCACAGCACAGTATTTTAAATTAATCTGAAATGCACTGTTATTTCAGTTTGTCTTATGGCATCATATCCTAGAAAAGCAATTTAGGGTCAGCTCTGATGCAATAAATATGCATTGAATATGCGTCTTCTGGTGCATATTCAAAATGAAGGTGCAGTAACTGTACTGGAAAGGGCCCTCCTTCGCCTCCCAAAAGGAACTCGTAGACAGCCATGCCATGATACTTCCTGCCCGCTAAGCCTAACTTACTTTCAATTTAGCAGCATCGTACAAACTCCAGAGCCCTCCTTCTGTCACCTTCTATTTTTCCAGTTGAAAATCTGTGGAGAATCTTGCAAGAAACATTTGGAAAAAGTAGAACTCCTTGCAGCTGAAACCTCTTCAAAAATTCCAAACTTGTTGGCAGCGATCGATTTTTGTTCTGCTTTCTTCCAACTTGTACTCAGCGACCAATTCTCATGCCTGTTGCTTTGCAGTGCTCCTCCGACTGCGGGCGGGGAAAGCAGAAAAGAACGGTCACGTGCACCAACTCCCAGGGGAAGTGTGATGCCGCCACCAGGCCGAAGGACGAGGAAGACTGTGAGGATCACACGGGCTGCTATGAGTGGAAGACAGGCGACTGGTCCAAGGTAAGCCTTGCTCTCAGCACTGCATCACCCCGGATTCCTCGAGGAGAAGGACCCCGTTGATGTCCGTCCGCTGTGTGGCTGGATGGGCGCCTCAGTGGTGTCTCAGGCCTTTTGAAGTGCCTTTGCATCCTCGGCTCCCACTGGTGCATGAGGAAAAGACACTTCAGAGGCTTATTGTCCTCAGACTTGATTGATGGCTTATCCTCGCAAGGCTGCACAGGTAAATGGCCTTCTTTAAAGAAAAGAAAGACAAGACACAGACGCAACACAAACACTGAGATCTGGTAGCTTCACTTTGTTTTCCAAGGCCTATAGCAGAGACTTCTTGTTACTGATCGAAATCTGGTCAACCCAAAAGTCCAAGTGGGGTCAAAATTCTGATCCATGGGGAGCAGAATCGCAGTGCCTTCAGGTAGCCAACATAAGTGATCTTGAATTAGGGAGAGAGAGCTTTGCTTCTCTCACTTTCTCTCGCTCTCTACGAAGCCTATATTTAGGTCACGCCAAGAATTTCTATCACCAAATGTTTGGAGTATTGAACATTATATTATTCATAAACTGGAACATAGAACCAAGAAGGCCAGCCAATATAAACAGCCTCTGTGTATTAACAGGTGAAATAACATTTTTTGAGACTTACCAAAAAAAATGCCCCCACCCTCCTCTTCAGAATATGAATTGACCATAGAGTCACATTTTTAGAGTGCAGCACATGAAATAATTTCAATAGTCCCCAGGCTGATCCCTGCAAATGATCATAAAGCAGATTTCGGAAAAGGAATATGGATGGCAACCAGAGGACTGGAATAGCTAGGCAGCATTTTATGTGCCCTTCTTGAGGCAACAGTGGCCTTCGTATGATAGCAATTCACTGATCGATGGTGGAGAGGGTATCCACAGGCCTGTGGCGCACACCCCAGTCACCCCAATATTTGTGCAATAGCATGGACTCTAGCTCGGTGCTGAAGTTCTTGACTTACTAAAACAGGGTATCGGAGTGAGTTCCGTGCCATACCTTTTCATGGTCCACAGTTAGAAGGACAATGGCTAGAGATGAATCTGAAAGAAAGGACTGCAATTCTTCCATTAGGTGGGCCTCTTAGGACACGATACCTGGCCAGAGCGAGACAGGAAAGGGCTCCTGGACCTTCTCTGGAAGGTGCAAGAACAATGATGGAACTGGCACAAGGGCGGTGAACCTCTAAGGCCCTCACTGCATTTCGGAAAAGCTCCCGGAGCTGCTTTCCAGTGGCTGTGTGTGAAAAGCACAAGAGGTAGGGCAGAAAAGAGAAAGGGCTAAATGCCTTTACTGACACTGAGTCTGAAGAGTGTGACTTTGATCTTGGCATGACTCCCCAAAAGGCGGGGAACTGCCAGTTCACTGCTGGTTTGGGGAAAGGGGAAGGAGGAGTGGCCCGCTGGGGAGCCCCAGAGAGTCTGACTGGGACCCTCCCTCAGCCTGAGGCTCTGCACTACCGCTCCAAAAATTCAGCCGAGCTAAAGCAGTTAGTTCCTGGACAAGGCCACACCTTGTGTGAAATGGGAATGCCCATCCCAAACGTAAGCCTACACTACAAACCTCTTCCTCTTTAATCCCAGTTGACAGTCATGGCTTCCCTCAAGGGATCCTGGGAATGGCACTGCAATAAGAATGCTAAGAATTCTTTTGGCGATGAGCTGCCCGCACCATGGGCAGAAACACGGAATTCCCTGCAAAGGGAAAAATGGCAACTCAGCTGGTTTAAACAGGGTGGCATGCAAAGGCAAAATAAATTAATTGCATTCTGCCGTGTCAGCTTCTTGCTTTCTTCTCATTAGGATGCAGCTTCAACTTTGACTTCTGAATCTGCATCATTTGAAAAGGAAGGATGTGGGCAGGATTTCCCCAGGGGAGAGTCACACAACCCTACAGACACAGCCCCAGTGTTAGATTGGGGTTGAAAGGCACTTGGACACTGCTGGGTGTCTGCCCAACACTAAGTTACATTTCTGGGCTTTTTTAGGCAGTGGAAGGGCGACAGCCAGGCTGGGAGTTGGTGGCCCCTTTCCTGCGTAAACAAGCCTGGGAAGGCACCCCAAGAATTCAGCATTTGCCTGGCCCTTTCCAGGCTCAACAGAAGGCACCCCTGAGAGTCCCCCTGCGGTGCAAGTCAACATTATCATCACCTAACCGCACCCTAACCTGATCTCACTCTTTGATGGGGTAGCCTCCCAAATGGACAGCAGAAATGCTGTGGACACAATTTACACAATTCACTTCAGCTAAGCTTTCCACAAAGTGCCACACAGCAACTTGATGAGAAGACTAGCAAAAAGTCTGTGGGCTTGACAGAGCTGCTATTAGGTGGATCTACAACTGGCTACAAAATTGGTCACAAAGAATGCTCATCAACGGCACCGTCTCAAGCTGGAGAGAGCTGATGAGTGGAGTGCCAGAAGGCTCAGGCCTGGGACCAGTGCTCTTCAATATCTTTATTAATGATCTAGATGAGGAAGTCCAGGGAATGATAATTAAATCTGCAGATGACCAGAAGAAGAAGAAGAAGAAGCAGAAGCAGAATAGCTAATACCCTGGAAGACAAAAAGAAGATCCAGGCTGACCTAGACAAGCTGGAATGCTGGGCTGAAAGCAACAGAATGAAATTCAACAGGGACAATGTCAAGTTCTCTTCCTAGGTAAAAAAAAAACCAAATGCATTGATATAAGAAGGGAAATACTTGGCTCAACAGCTCTTAAAAACTAAAAAGACCTTGGAGTTGTTGTGGACAACAAGCTATTTATGAACCAGCAATTTGGTGCAGAAAAACTAGGAAGGGTTCACACGAAGAACCCTTCAGATCATTCAAAGATGATCCAGGGTCTGGAATCCAAGCCCTTTGATGGGAGACTGACGGCTGGGCATGTTGAGCTTTGAGAAGAGAAGGCTCTGAGGGGATCTGATAGCACTCTGCAAGTACCTCAAAGGCTGTCACAGAGAGCAAGGAAAAGACCTTCTCTCACTCATCCCCAAGTATAGGACACAGACCAACAGACTGAAACTGCAGCACACCAGATTTGACTAGACACCTGGAAAAACTTCTTAACTATGAGAGCAATACAACAGCGGAACCAATTGCCAAGAGAGGTTGTGGGCTCTCTCATTCTAGAGACATTCAAGGTGAAACTGGACAGTCATCCAAGCAGGATGATATGACTTGCATCCTACACCAGCAGGAGTTGGACCTGATGCCCTACTCGGCCCCTTCCAACTCTACTATTCTATGAATTTATGAATCATTCCATATGTTAAGAAGGCAGACAATGAAAGAAAAGGTGGCATTGAGATCTTCCAAACAAAAGTAGTATCACAGGTGGATGCGAAAGCTGAAAGATAGGGTCACTTGAAAGCCCAGTTTAAGGAGCTTGTGGGAAGAGTGGAATTGGTATCAAGGACTTTCAGGCTGGTAACTCTGCCTCTGAGCAATGCCCCTTGAAACATCAGTGATTTGATGCTATTTTGGGAAAACTGGAAAAAATTCTAGAAAATGGAAAGGTGGGAGCAGAAACAGGCTTGGAGGGACAGTATCAAGGTGCAAATGTGCTAATTTACATAGGAGATAAATTAATTACTTAATTAAGGCTGGCCCATGGTAAGCAATTTGCATGACCCCTACCTCTTTCTCCTTGCTGGATGGCAGGCCTGGGAATCTGGCAGAAGGCCCAAATGCCCCCCCTCCAGTATCGATTGGTGCTTGCCATGCCGTGCCCTTGACTGGCGAAGCCTTCCAGCCGGACACCCGGGGGACCCATCTCCGACTGCAGCTTATTTTGAAGTATCAGCAAGAACTTGGCAGAAACGGCGCATTCAGCCAGTGCTTGCAGCTGCCAAGCTGCCTTTCATGATAAAGCACATTTGAAAAATTGCCTCCAGCCACCTGCCCTCCCCTGGGATGAAGGGGTGCCAGTTTGCTTCCGCATCTTGTCTCAGCCTCCACAATCCTGCCAACAGGTACCCAGCAGGACATGTTCAACCTGGAGAAAGTCTTGCTTCCTGTTAGAATAACCTGCTTTTGTGCTGTCCCTTGAGATGTTTTGCGTTCGGGATCAGCTGTCGTCCATCACAGACGAAATAATGAGAGGCTGCTAATTGCAATTGAATTATTTTGGCTAGATCAGCACGAGCTGTATTCCGTAAAGCGAAGGGCAAGAAAGGGAGACACAAACAAAAGCCAAGGTGTGCAGGGTGAACGATGGTAGAAGCCGTATTTCTGTTAGTATGCGAGCCGTAATTGAGCTTGTCTTATGTCAACAGAGGACAAGAGTCTGAAATAAGGATCTCCTGTTAAAATTTCACCAGTGCCCCAAACTCACTATCGCCTTCAACACGCGACAGCCACCCAGTTTCCGCCTCTGGCATCTTCAGTTTGAACATTGAGGCACTGTTGAGGGGGAAAGGGGATGACCTGCAAAGGGGTGGGGAAGGTGGATCGGGGAATTGCAGGCCTGGCGAGTCCTGTATTGATTTGAAAAAGCAGCTGAATGTTCAAATGCAGCCTGCAGGCATCCAACAGGAATGGAGGTTCCCTCAGGGGACCGGAGGGGGCTGGTTTATTTTATTTTATTTTATTTTATTTTATTTTATTAAAACATTTTTATGCCGCCCCATTCGCCAAATGAGCCACTTTTTGCCAATGCCTTGCCCACAGAGTACCAGTAATTTTGTGATGTCAAGTTCTAATCTCCAACGTGGCTTTTTGCAGACTGGTTTCATGGGTGCATGATAGGAATTGAGGTTAGCCATTTCTGGGCCATTATGACTGAGAATAGGGGCTGCTTTGTACATTATTTTGAAAAGAAAGGCCCTGCTAGTCAGCTGAAGCTTTTCTGCAACTTTTCTGCAACTTTTCAGTGGAGTCGAGGTTTGGACCTTGACCAAGTGACCTGGGTTCTGGACTCCACTCAGCCACAAACTTCACCGGATGACTTCGGGGCTGTCACTGACTCAGCCTAACCTACCTCACAGGGTTGTTGTTGTGAGGATAGAGAGGAATGGAGGTGTATCATGTAAGCTGCCTTGGGTTTCCTGTTAGAGGAAGACCATCTGGATGTAGATGTTGGTTGTAATGCAAACAATACTAATCATATTACTACTACTCCTGAAGTTCCACTGATTTCATCTGGGAGAAAAAGTATACACAGCCTGCTTTCCTGCCGATCAGGTTCTTAAGATAGGTCTTGGTGGTCTCTGTGCATCACACGTTCCATACATCATAGAGCACCTGTAGGTCTGAAGGCTCAGGTGTTCATTCAAAGACCCCGTTACAGGTAAGCAACCTGTTCATTGTGAAATTTGGCTTGAACATGCCCGAACCATAGATAAGAAGGTTGCTTGGCACCTTCCAGTCAATACTGGAAATACCCATCCAGTCCACAGGACCTCTCTGCAAATTTCAAATGCTAGCTAGGATCAAATGTTTTCAATTCACTTGTCATTTCACTTTGCGTAGTATGCGTTTAAAGCACTTTCAGAATTTGCAGAATTGTTATTGTAATTATTCATTACAGTATTTTTTGTAGCAGGGGCAGTGCTAGGAATTGAGGCAATCTGTTGGTTCAGACCAACAGAGGGAAAATGCACACGTTTTGCATATGGCAATTTGCATATGCTCTAAAGTCTCTCTCTCTCTCTCTCTCTCTCTCTCGCGCGCGCGCGCGCGCGTGCGCATGCGCGCGCGTGTGTGTGTGTGTGTGAGAGAGAGAGAGAGAGAGAGAGAGAGAGAATGATTTTAAAGGACCTGTCTCCTAGGGCCACCCCTATTTTACAAAGACATGTACAAACAAGGAAACAGAAAAGTTTTGGTTAAAAAAACCTCAGGTGGAAGGATTCAAGGGGATGCAGTGGGATGTGAAAGTACAGGTGGACAAAAGCCAATTCATCCCATATATTTCAGCAAGCACCAATAGACAAGAGGGTACTGAGGGTTATTGTAGATCACAAGCTAAATAGGAGCCAACAATGTGATGCAGCTGCAAAAGGGGCAAATACTATTTTGGGCTGCATTAACAGAAGTATTGCTTCCAAACACGTGAAGTTCTAGTTCTCCTATATTCAGCACTAATCCAACCTCACCTGGAGTCCTGTGTCCAGTTTGGGGCACCTACATTTTTAAAAAGATGCAGGAAAGCTAGAAAGGGTGCAGAGGAGGGCAACAGATATGATTTGAGGATGGAGGGAGAGCCATGTGAGGAAAGACTGAGAGAACTGGGAAGGCTGAGGGGTGACAAAATAGCACTCTACAAGTACCTCAAAGGCTGTCCCATAGAGGAAGGACATGCAATACTGGACTTAAGTTAAAAGAAACCAGATTTAGACTGGACACCAGGAAGAATTTCCTCATGGTCAGGGCAGTATGACAATGGAGCCTATTACCTGGGAAAGTTCTGGGCCCTCCCTTGCTGGAGACATTGAAAGCATCAGGACAGCCACCTGAGTGGGATGGAGTGACTTGGTATCCTGCAACAGCAGGTGGTTGGACCCGATGGCCTTCTGGCCCCTTCCAGCTCTACTATGCTATTCTTGAACTCTGTGCTCTTTGAAAGGGGTGAAGTCATGTTGAGTTGCATGCACAGGTGCACCTGAAATGCTGGTCCCCGGTATCACGTGGACTTAAAGTACAGCTCGGGGGCAGTTGGAAAAGCTTGATAGGTGCTCCTTTGCAAGCATTCTGTGGTACCTTTAAATCAGCCAAAAGAACATTTTTTGCTGTAATATATTTTTCCTAACATTGAGCCAGGCTCCTTGAATTGAGAAGGCATTTTTTTCTTCTGAATGGAATTAAACAAATCATCTGCTTGACATGAAAACTCCACATGAAATATGGTTTTTAACAAGACTAGATATGTTCTCATTTGGCTTGGTGTTTGTTTTTAGTTCTCGCTTCTTTCCTCCCCACCCCTCTTTTTTTGTTGGCTGTGAAAAAATGTGAACTTAAAATGTGCTGTGGGCTAATTAGATCTTATCAACTAAAAGCAAAGCTCTCATTCCAGCGGTTCTGGTTTCATGATGCTAAAACTGGCGGTTTGACCCAAAGTTCATGGAAATGTGTATCACGTACTGCTGAACACTGGAGTGCGTGTGCCGAGCACTTTTGGCCTTGTGCTTCGCCCTGGAAATGCAGTGCACTGTGCTTGCAATTCATTCTCGCACACTCGAATAAATCCTGAATTTTAGGAGATACAAAAATATAAAAATAAAACAGGATTCTATTAGACAGTGCTGCATTTTAAATATATTCTGTCTTACTTGACTTGTCTTTAAGGATCTTCATCACGCGGACAGTGGTGCTAAAGTAGTGTCTGTCACTTTTATAAACTCTGAATTTGAGAGCCATCACTGTTACACTAACGAGAAACTAATGCTGCTATGGGCAAGCGTGTGGGCAGAGGAAGTGATAGGGCCATGCGGTGAGAAGAGGGAGAGACGCAGGAGTGGCATGCCAGCGTTTTCGCTTTCTGCACACGGGGAGCGTTTAAGCATGCGCCCCCAGACCTGCAGGCTCAAGGGACATCCCAGGATGGTCTGAGCATGTGATGTGCAGCGTGCCTAGGCAAGGACAGCAAGATCATCTTCTACAGAAAAAAGCACAACTTGCTTCCCGCTGAATGCGTGGCAGGATGAACGTCTCGGGTGTGAAATGCAGCATTAGCCACATTTGGATTTCACAGTTTCTTTTAGCACCCTTATTCCAAAGTATGGTGTTGTGGGTGCGGAAATCCTCTATTTATACACATTTCTGTATCTGCTCTTACCTCCTAAAAAATGGACACCCCCCCCAAAAAAAATTCAGGTGTTCCTCTAGCTGCCAAACCTGAATAGTTCGAGATAGATGTTAAAGTTGCAATCCTATGCTGGTTTAAAAAGAAAAATCCTGCAAGTCCCTGCATGGCTGGCTGGGTCATGCCAGGAATTGTGGTCCTCTTCTCTGTCTAAACTTGCATAGGATTTTGCCTCCAGTCTGTCTTCCTGGCATTGGAAGCACTGACTGCATAGCATAGTTTCCTAGGAGAAGCAATCAGAGCAGGCTCTAGGCAAGGCAAGGCAAGGCAAGGCAAGGCAAAAACAATGCTTGGCGGTTCTTTGTGAGTTAAGAAGCGGAGCTGGCAGAAGTTGTGGAAAAAAAGGAAATTCAATGCTTTGCCCTCTTTGTTGGTTAACAGTTGGAGACTCTCCAGTGCATTGGCACACAGAGAGGCAGGTAAGCCTCCACAGTGCAGAGGTGCTAAATACTTAGCGTATTGTATTTCTATACTGCCTGTCATTATCTGAGCAAACAAACATCCAGTACCTTTAAATCTTATCTGTAAGCATGGCAAAGTGTTGCCAGCAGTAGTAGCTATAAAACAAGGGAGTTCAGATCCTACATTTGCCATATTTTTCTGGTGTCAGGCATAAATGGGCGGTGGCAAACTGGATTTTCTTTCATTTGTGCACATTTCATGGCACAGTTGTGTGAAAGCGTGTTAACGCTTCTTGAGCCCTTTTGAAACTGGAAATTGTTACGAGAAGGTTGAGCATTGTTGGGCACTGAGTCTCTCTGCTTGTGCTGAAAGGACCACCCAGAAAGATTTATATGCATCTTGTCCCAAGTGTGAAGATATGGTTACATTCCATAATGTCAGGCTTCCAGCCTGCAAATCAGAAAATGGAGTGTAGAGAATTTGGAGAGTTGAAACACAGCAAGGATGGGATGCAGACGCACACGGTTTGAACAGAAACAAACCCCACTAGCTGTGGATCTGTAATGCAACGAATTACAGGAAGTTACCCTGTAGAACTGCGTTTTACTATGGAGTACAAGGCGGCAGGTGGACTGAAAGCAGCACCTTGTAACAGGTTTTGCACTTGTCTACAGGGAAGGTGGCAGAGGCCGTTCTCCAGTTCTCGGGAAAACATGAAATGTTGGACACAACTGTGTGCAACTGCCTGGTGGAACTGGACCTTTCCACCCTTTCTTTTGCACAGCCCCTGAAAATGCTCCACAGAATCAAGAGCCTTGAATAAGGCCACTGTGTGTGTGGGGGGGGGGTCCCCAAAATTCAGCTGGATTTTCCTTAAGCTCACTTGAGTCATGGAAGATCAATCCAACACAGGGAGGAGACATTATAAGACCAGACAAAAGAGAAAGATTACGTTTCCCATCTTCCGTTCGACCAGGGGCCCTCAAACTTTTTTGACAGGGCCAGTTGAAAGTGGGCAGCAGGCACGGCGAGGCAGGGTGAGGCAGCGGCCTGCTTGTGAGGAGAAGGCCACATGGCTGGCTGCCCCTGGGCTCGCATAATTAAAAATAGATTTAAAAAGTTGTATTTTACTTTCTATCCTTTTTTAGTTTCTTCGTCTTCACCTTTGTTGTCTCTCTCTTCCATCCGCCTCTCTTGTTTCCTGCTCCATATTCCTGCTCTGTATATGTGTGCAATGGGGGGGGGGGAGCTGGCACATGCGCAGTTGAGCCACTGCAATTTGGGCGTGCGCTGGCGCTCTCTCTCTGCTCAGTTTCTGAGAATGCCTCCGAGCGAGTCCAAAACCTCTGGGGCGGGCCGGATAAATGGGCATGGCAAGCTGGATCCGGCCCGTGGGCCATAGGTTGAGGACCCATGTGTTAGACTGATGGATGCCCCGCTTGTGGGAACATGTTGCAGCAAGCATGGGGGGAAATTGGCATGAGCTGCAGGGTATGTGAATGAGCAAATGCCCTTTGCGTGGCCTCGCTGTCCAGAACTCCTCGCCAGGGCACGGGACCCTCCCTGCTTCGCACGAGACACACGCGATGTGTGGGTTGGACGCGTCTGCACAGGTCAGTTCCGGGCGCCGTGTCTTCTTCCCTGCCCCCGGGCTCCTGCCAGCCTGCTTCACCAGGTGCCTTCTCTCCCCCAGTGTTCTTCCACGTGTGGCAAAGGCCTTCAGTCTCGGGTGGTACAGTGCATGCACAAGGTCACGGGTCGCCACGGCAACGAGTGCCCGGTCCTCTCCAAGCTGGCAGCCTACCGCCAGTGCCACCAGGAGGCCTGCAACGAGAAGATAAATGTCAACACGATCACCTCTCCACGGCTCGGTGAGTAGGGCCTTGCTGGGCTCCGAGGGCCGGGGGCCTCTTCCTTGGCACCCCTGAGATGCAAGCAGGTGCCTCCGCGTGTGCCGATGGCTTCAGGGCAGGGGTGGCCGAGCTCTCTCCTGCCGAGGGCCACTTTCCCCCAAGGGGAAGCTTTCTGGGGCTGCATGTTGGCGCTGGCTGAGGCCAAAGCCATCCGTGGCCAAGGCCAGAGCCACGACTGAATGGACACACATTTCCTTTCTGCTACCCCTGTCCCTCCCTCCCTCCCTCCCCCCACTCTCCCCCCCACCCCCTTCCAAGGCCCGCAGTGGCCTAGCAGAAATGGGCAGCTCCATCTTGCCATCGGCCTGAACTGATCTCAGAGGGCTTTTGAAGTTAGTCCGAGGGCCACATGCAATCCGTCTGTGGCTGCATGGAGCATGCCGAGGCATGACGGCTGCCCACCCCTGCCTGCCACACCTGGCCAGGTAGGCGTGACCACGTCGACCCCGGTTCTTCTCCCCCAGGACAGCTAAGAGCGGCTTTGGGGACGCAGCAGCTTCGATGGGCAAAACTGCACCAGGAAAGGGGCTACGCGGCCACTCCTCCAAAGCACGCCCGGCCGCTCCTCATCTAAGAATGCGGCCCCAGCCTCCACCACTGCTTTGAAGTAAAATAGAGACTGCACCTCCATGGCCTCTTGCAGGATGCCGTGGTTTGCCCAGGGACCTGTTTAAGCAGACAGATGCACTTAATGTGCCCAAGTGGTGCTTGCTTTTTCTAATTCAGCTGGAGGGATTTTCCCTAATGGGGGGGGGGGGGGGAGCGGTGCATGTACAGGGAGGGAGAATCAGCTGGGCTTTGGCGACCCCCAGGAGGCCCCCTCCCCCTCCCCACCTGTACTTACCTGGCTTTTGGGTAGTCTTCCCCATTTTGCCTCTCCTAAGGTTTTGTTACTGTCACTATGCTCTTCAAACTAAACCGTGATGTTATTCGGCCATAACGCTTTTGCCTTTGCCCCAGAAAGTTTCTCCAAAGTGCAGTTCTGCCCGTAGGCCAAAGGAGAGTCTCCCCCCTGGCTGCGCCCACATGGGTCAAGCAGGGAGCTTGGCTGCAGATGGTCTCCATGCAGCTTTCCCTGCAGTCTCATGGAATGGGAGGGATGCAGGGGCCTACAATGCCATCCGGCCCACCTCACGGCTCAGTGCGGGGCTCACCCAGTTAAAGCATCTGCAACGGATGGGTGTTCAGCGGCCTCCAGTGGGGGAGACCCACCCCCTCCCTTGGCCAGGGAGAGCCTCCCGATGTCCAGCCGGAGCCTGGCTTCCTGCCACTTGAGCCTGTTATTCCAGGCCCTGTGTTCTGGAGTGATCCAGATCCCGAATGATCCTGGCCTTCCTCTTTGTGGCAACCATGCAAGTACTTGGAAGCGTGCTAGGCTCCCAGGGCTCCCAGCAAAGCATGCCTAACTTCTTTTCCAATATACTTGCCCCCCTCCTCCTCTTCCTCCTCAATATGCACTCGAAGCCGCTCTGACCTACAAGTGCACCGGCGACCAATGGACAGTGTACTGCCGGGTGATCCGCGAGAAAAACCTCTGCCAAGACATGAGATGGTACCAGCGCTGCTGTCAGACCTGCAGAGACTTCTACGCAAGCAAGTTGCAGCAGAAGAGCTAATGAAACCTGCACCGGCTCCCCAGGCTATTCCCGCTCATCTGTACTTCTTCATACCGTGTATTGTTAACTTATGGAACTCACTGCCACAAGAGGTGGCAACAGCCGCTTAGAGTAGACTAGAGAAGTTCATGGGGATAGGGTCCATTGATGGCTAGTCACCCAGACAGCAAACAGAGCCTCCTAGGCAGGAGCAGTGCGCTTCTGGAGGCAGAGGTTGGTGACTAGAGACGGGGTGGTCATAGCCCCCCGTCTCCAGGGGCACCCGGCTGGCCATTAGTAGAAACGCAGAGCTTGACTAGGTGGCCCTTGGCCCAACCCAGCAAAGCAGGCAACAGCTGGTAAGCTGCGCGCGCGAGGGTTGGCTTACCCACTCGCCAACAAGCCCCCTGAACTTGGTGGATTCCAACGCTTACGCTTCCTCGAAACTCTTTTTGCAGACTGGATGAACCAGAGCAATCCACCAGAGGAAAAGAAAAGCATTCATCTCGAGGCCAATCATGTAGAATTTTATGATGCTCTGACACTGCTACATTTTTTTTCAGTAATATATAGATTATTTCCAGCCACTGGATGGCTTGCTACCATTTTTTTAAGGAAAAGTTTTGAAAAGCAATTAAATTGACAAAAGTTACGTGTACCTCGACAGGGTAAGCCTCTGGCAAATAACTCAGTGTAGATAGAGACATGACTTAATGCTTCAGCTTGGCTTCTAGGTTCTAATCCCAGCCCTGAAGTGAGGGTGGAGGGTGGCTGTCTTGAAAGGGGGAGCCATTAATGAAATGCTTAATTTAAAAAAGAGGCTTTGCTAGAAAAGCTCCTGAAAGCCAAACAGGCGTGGACAAGCACTTCTGCGATCTCTCTAGAAAGCGTGCAGCATCCGCAGCCAACATTCCTCTGAGTATAATTTTAAAGGAACGAAAAGAAGAAATCCCTAATTAAGAACTAGCTGTCTTTTCCCTTTCCCTTCTTCCAGTATGGACAATCTCTTTGCCTTTTTAAGGTGCCTTAGTCATCCAGTGTTGCCATAAATAGCAGCATGTTCCATCATCTCATAAGCTCGAAGCAAACTTGAAATTCTCATTATACAGCTGTGCTAATTGGATTAAAGGCCAAATTCACGCATTGCTTCCAACCCTGCTAGACTGCAGCAGATGTGATTCGGTCAAGCTTTGCACGTGCACCAGGGTGGCCCTGTAAGGCCCCGATCCTGCTCTTGCAGCACGCTAATTTTGATGGACGGGCAGCTCTAAGTGTATCAAGGAGGCACATGTGATGCAGCTTCTGCCTCTGAGATGAATAACCAGCATCTCAGTGCCCCTCACGGAGCTTCTGCAGATTACTGGAATTAATATCAAGGAGGTTATTGCAACTGCTGCCTTAAATTATTGGGAGAAGATGATCAGAAATAGGGATGTGTGAGAATATGCAAACAAGGTGTAGTGCAGTTCTCAGGAGATGTTGCTACTTCTCAACCTTGTATTCACACTTCTGAAAGTGTGCACTTGTGCAATTCCCCCAAATTCACATGTCTATGTTCTAACCCATGCAGAGCGAGTGCAAATTTTAGGTGCACTCTTTTAAAAATGTGGTTTTTTTCCAGCTGGAAATCAGCGTTTCTCCTCTGGGAGGGGGAATCGTTAGGGATATGCAACATTGCCTGCATCAACATTGCATGGTTCAGTCCACTAACCACAGTGGGAGGGAAGGGGTTAATGCCATAGACAAAATGCTACTGACCTCTCTGTTTGAACTATGTCCTTCCTGTCCATTCAGTCCTCCCACCTCACCTGGAGAGGCAAAAGGTCACATGACTACTTGCCCTCTTGCTCTCTCTCTCTCTCTCTCTCTCTGTCCCATGCGGTTTTCCTCTTTAAGCTAACCAGCTAGCAATTAAGCAAGATATCCTGCATGAAAATACCAACCCCTCTCCTTCATGCAAGCGAAATACGGATTGTTTTTAAGTAAACTTTTTTTTACTTTTGTTAAATACCCTCTTAGTGTGGATTCTAATAGATCCAGGGGTGAGCAAGTCTCTTCGCTAAATCTGCAATTAGCTTGATGAACCAGCATATAACGAAGTATCCAACAGGTTCCCAACAGGAAGATGTTCAGGACTGTGAAGGAGGTAAATCAAGGTTTGAGGAGGAGAACCTCAGTGAGGTCAAATACTGCCTGTTGCATCTGCCTTCTTAGCTCTAGTATAGTGACAAAAATTCCGAAGGTCATCTCTTTGTGGCAGAAACCTTGTCCCTGTCTCTGTCTGCTTTTCTGTTTGTCCTCTTTCGTCCCATGCTGCAGTTCAGGAATCATTTGGCTTCAGTGGCAAGGAGAAGAGACACGAGCCAGGGAAATGAAGGGACTTTGCTAAGAGTCGGTTTGAAATGCAGGAACAATTCAAACATCGCTTTTTCAGCTCAAAACCTGTGGAAAGTGATGCTGTGAGCAGACTGAGGAATTTCCATTCTCCAGGGCTGTCCTGGTCAGAACATGCTTGACTAAACTTTCAACACAAACCAGTTGCTTCAACATCTCCTCCTATCACTCACAAGGCATTAAGCTGTGACTCAGCACATGATGTCCCTCAGCAGCTGACTAAGGTAGCAAATATGCGGCAAAAGTAGTAACCTCGGCCCCAAGGAGCTATTCTGTCTACCGCAACTCAATGCCCTAGAAGGCAACATTCCCATCGGCAACATTCTGAAATCCATCCTTTACTTGGAAAACAGAAAATACATGGATCTCACATCATACATATCATAATGAAAAGTTGTCCTTACAAAGCTATATTGGCCTGTAGCCATGCTACAAATTGGAGGTTTTCCAACAGTCATCTGAAGAATGGGGTTTTCCTGCTATGGATCTGGCACCTTATTTGTGGTTCTGAGGTGGAAAAAAGCTGATGATGTTCAGCATTCAGGGCAAGCTTCTAGCCCTTCTCAAGCTAGTGGGGATTTTTACAATGAATATCAGTGGTGCAAGAGGAATCGGTTCACTCTCTGAGTCCCATTGGTGCTAACCTCTTGCTCCTTGATGATCAGGTTATCAGAAACAGTGTGCTGTTCTTTGGTTCTCCCACGGCCTCACAGACATTCGGCCAGTCCTGGCAGGGCTGCAGTGTTGCTTTTGCAGTCATATCCAAACCCTGTCTGATCCTGATGATAAGGCCAGCGCTAGATCACTCATTCGTTTCTGGTGAGCAATCAGGATCCAGAGTTTGTGCAAGCCAAATAAGATCAAAAGCAGCAGAACTGGGACACTTGATGCTGTACTTGAATTTCAGTTTGGCGCTTGACGCACCCCCTCGGTTCAATGGCTCGAGACTGCACTTGTATGCATGCCTATGTAGGAAGGAGCACCAGTGAACACACCAGGACCTGCTTCCACATGAGCGTGCTTAGGATTGCACAGCAAGTGCCTGCCTCCTCCGAGAAGCTTGGGATCGAGCCCCTGCTCAGCCCGAAAGCTCACGCCAGGGTGGGGCAAACCACCCTCTCCCTCGCAGGCTTGCCGTGATGTTAAAATAAAAATGGCCCCATATCAACCACTCTTGTCAGGTTCTGGCATGGGGGGGGGCAGGTTAAATGCAGTTATAATGCAGCAGTGAGACATAACGGCTGACCTTGTCTTGGCTGGGCCTCGCCTCTCAGCGGTGCTGCATCTATTTATCCAGCCATTGCATGGGAAGACGGAGGTGTCACAACTCGCCCCTCGCTCCTGCAGCCACACCACGGCGGTGGCCCCCTGCCAGCATATTGGCCCAATTCATCACAGACGGTGAGCCCTGATGGGTTGCCCAGGCCCAGCCCTGGTTGCCTACAGTGGCCCTTTCTTCCCCGACTGGCCACCGGAGCCCCCAGGTGCTGTTGCAGGGTTTGCTTGATTCATGTGGGGTGGTCAAGTCCTGGGTGAAGGCCAGCAGCTGGCAAGACCCTCCGCAAGAGGGGCAACCGCCTCTTGCTGCTCCTCCTATATTCACCCTGAGCACCCCCAGTCCAGCCACCCCACAAGTGCCCAAGAAATACTTGGGGGAATGGCTGGAGCGGCCTTGCTTCCCTCCCCACCGCAGGAGAAAGCTATTCGTTTTCTTGTGGCTGTTTTGCTCTTTAAACCTCTTTCCCCCTTGGAGAGCACAAATGCCGGCTTGTCAATTTGCAACCCTGGACATTGTTTCAGAGGGGTTCCAGAGAGGTTCTTTTTCCGTTTGCTTTCTCTAGGCAGCTGTTGAAAAGCAAGCTGTCAGGGGAGTGTGAAGATATGTGTGCTCTTTGCTCCTGGAAACGGGTGCGTGTGATGGCAAGAGCCTCCACTTTTTTTACCCTGATAGTTCTCAGGGTGGTGCAGATTTTGCAGCTTCTCCCAAGGCCTAGGAAGGTGCAAAAGTACAGCCTTCCCCCCTTTTTTTTTCTAGGGAAAGCAAGTTCTGACAGCTGTTAAAGCTTCGGGTCCCTTTGAAAGAAACTTTTGACAGGGAAAGTGTTTTGGGGCTGGCCAAATGTGTGACTTTTGTCAGGCAAAGACGGCTGCATAAAGGGACCTAAGAAAAGGAAGGAATGGACCTTCCCGAGCGTGGTCTGCAGAAAAGTGCACCATCCGGAAGACTGTTGGGGTGGAAAAGAACGCCCCCACCGCCACAAAAGGGGTGTAAAGGAGACCACTTGGGGAAAAGCATTGCTGCAACCAAGAGCTGCAAATGAAGAGGGCTGGATGGGTGGGTGCAAATCGTGCTAGCCAGCAAGCTGTTTTCCAGAGATGCTGATCCATCCGTTATAATTTTCGTATTGTGGAATTTCTGATAAGAGTCTGAAGGAGCCCCTGATTCCAGGGATGCAAATGGGAGTCCTGATCTTCCAAGGGTGGTTGGAAGATCAGGGAATCCATAGAGGGATCCATAGAGGCATGGATCTATGGCATCCATAGAGGGAAATGGCATCCATAGCATCCATAGAGGGAAATGTGCAACCTTTTGGTTTCAGTGTAGCTAGTATCTTTGGGTTTTTCAC